GCCTATAGCTTGCCTTCCTATAGTACGCCGGCCTATATAGAGAAGAACCTATATAATAAGTTATCTTCGTTATTAAGGGTGGTATTTACTTGCTACGCTACCTTCCCCTATTATACTAGGTTTTCTTAACGTCTCTTATCAACCTAGGCTTTCTAAGTAGGGTTAGCCTTTATAGCTTTCTCCTATTTCTACTTAGCTTCCTTATTTCTAGTATACCTAGAAGGCTTATCCTTATTAAAGACGTCCTAATATTTCTAAAGTAGGTAGCGTCTATAGTTCTATCTATATAGATATAGCTTTAATTTAAACGGTAGTTCTTCTCTAGCTAACTTCGTATCAGCTAACTTTTTATCCGAGGTCTTTAGCTTAGCTTCTTCGTAGCCTTACTATATCGAAAAAGTAGCTTTAGAGATACCCCTTTGATTAGCAACTAGCTTACTATAAGTGATCTTCTAATATACTCGATACCGGTTAAGAAGCTTAGTGAATCCGATATCTTCTTTATCTTATATTCTCAGAGTCTATATCTTATAGAATCTAGGTAATATTACTAAGATAGCATTAAGGAACTAAGTCGAAGTATTATTTGCTTCTAGTATTCTTACTCTTTTATAGCTTAATTAAACTATCTCCTAGTTCAATAACTATTTGTTAATATTAGTGTTTTTGTCTAACCCTCTATCTAGGCTTCTCTATTATTAACGGAGCCTAGTAGAATAGGTTAGATCATACTCCGAGGCGAACCTTTCTCGAAGGTTTCGGAGTAGACTATATAGAGTTTTATAGTCTATTATAAACGGCTAGAAGTTTACGTAAACGCTATTCCGGATTGCCGTTATAATCATACTTAACCCCTTCTTTTCCTAGGTATAAAGTGTATTCTTTATCGACTAGTTCGATTGAATCACTTTGTAAGTATCGACCTATTTGTCGCTATACTTCTTCTCCGCTTCTTCAATCGATATGATCTCTACCGGAGCTTTCCGTATCTCCGGTTCTTTTTCCTTACTAGGATCATATAGCTCCTAAACGTCAAATTGCACTACAATCGATTCGATATTAGCGATCCATACATCCTAAGTTTCGGTGTCCTTAAGGATAACGCGGGAGGATAGACCCGCGGAGAGATAATCGGCCATGATTTATTGATGATAGATTTCCAATTCTTTCTTCGATTCAGGGGTTGCTTCGTCGCTAGGTAAATTACCTCAGTATCGATTAGAAGCAGGGTTGATCTTTGAATTGATGTTTAATGGAACAAAGCCGGGCTCATAACTGACAGAAATCTGACGTATTGAAATGTATGCACCTCAGGGCTGATATGGAGAACTCTGCATTTTCTACATAATAGAAACTGCTGTTTCTGTGCGGTTATGACTAAGCTAGATTACATAATCTGTATGGTATCATCCCATGTATGCAACCTTGCAATTTGACATTTTTCTTTAATTTTTTACCTGATGCTTCAACCCTGAAATGCCTATCATTCATATGGTGATTCTAGCAGTCCACTCTCGGGGCAACTGGAAAGGAAATCGGGACCATTTACTTCAATGGAGTCCCAGAGGGAAGGCTCCGCAACATCGGCCACAACGAAATTGCGGTCGCTTATCTTCTCACAAAAATGCTTTGTCCGCTTACGGTGGACCAAAAACTGTTGTCTGTGGTACCGGTTTTGCAAGGAAAAATCACCAAAGGCGAGAATTTGCAACGATGGTACGCCCTTCGGGCCGAACGCCCAGTCAGCAAAATCCACGAATTCCTCGGCTTCAGAGATGGAAGCAAGTGGCTTGTTTGGTAGACCAGGCTCATATGTCTCCTCTTCGGATGATGCAAGTGCATGTTCTTCCATCAGAGTTGAAAGGTCGCTTCCACTTGTGCCGCACGATTGATACCGGAAATGCTCGTCTGGATCAAAATAATCTGAACAACATTCCTTGCTCACGCCTAGCTTTTTTAGGATTTCGTCTCGATAATTTCGATGTACTCTGTCACATCCGCTAAACCTGAAATGTAGAATCTGTAGGTTTGAAGTCCCGACTATGGGCTCGAGTCGGGATCGCTGCCGCGGTTAGCAAAACTCCTGAAATTGTATGTAACCACCTACTATAGTAGAAGGCCCCGTGCTGAATGCTAAAGCAGTTGCATAACACAAATTTGCCGACCAAAGGTTATGAGATAGCCAGGCTGGTGCTTTATCCCTGACGTCTTCGAATAATCCTTCATCATCAATAGGAACAAGGCTGCGCTCGTGGTAAGCGAAGCTCTTCAGTGACGAACGATGTTTTTCGATTGCCAGCCGTATCTGGGACGTATTCAAAAAATTGGATAACTTTAGATGAAGGTGTTTCAAACCCTCAAGTGATCGCAGGAAATCCACCAATGGTGTCACATCACGATCTTCATCATCTTGAAGGCTGTCATAGCAAAATTCAAGATGCTCAAGTTGCAGAGCACGACGCGTGCGAGAGATTGAATCCAAGAACGTAATCTGATTTGTACAGTTACGTAGTATGAGCGATCTGAGAGAACTAAAGATGCATGCGTCCTTCGGTCGTACGTTTCGAGGTAGCGCAGCCTTAGATAACGTCACTGAAGTTAGGCAGGGGAATGGAATCGACAACATGCCAGTACCGTTGCCTGGCTGGGCTTCATCAACTGGCTTCCCAAAAACGTCATGGTAGATGTCAATAGTAGCAATTGGCGCAACATATCCAATGGACACGACAGCAAGGTGCTTTCGATTTCGAAGAATGCACATCCTCAAGGTATCAAACTCAGCCGGCCGAGCAATTCCTTCCCACATCAGGGACTTAAGGCTTGATAATGAACGAAGCCCACCCAAACAGTGCCCTGAATGTTGACAAGTCCCGTCGGTGACCAACGAGATATGGCTTAAGCTCTTTTGGTGTCTGTCAATGTAGCCATCCAGACCCAGAAAGCCCGGTGGAAGACATGTGCCTAGCCGCCACCTGAATGTGGTCATTAGCAAGGTTTTGATGAATGTAAATGAAGGACCAGGGCGTGCAACCTACTCGGGTGATCTAAGGTGATTTGGCTTTAGACGGGTTTGCACAAGATGCAACTGACGTGAGATATCATCCAAAAATTGTTCATGTGCCTTGGACTCGTTGGAAGTTCCTAGGTTATTGACCCCTATCAATTGCCCAGCAACACGAAAGACGTTGAAGTATGTACAACGATTGAATCGAGCAAATAAAACGGGCGCAGAGATACTCAATTCCCTGGTGTAATGAAGATAGCAGGAGTCTGGTGAAAATTTGTGAAGACGGAAAAAGGTACCAATGTTGATTACATTAAGCGCCCATTCACTTGCAGCACGAAATTCCACTGTATGGTAGAGCAGCGGAATGAATACTGAATGGAGCCTGCATGAGGCTTGACTTAAGAAGCGGAGATCCCGAAGACTCAACTAACGGAGAATTAGTGTTCTGTTAATGGGATAAGAAGAGCCAACTTACCCTTCTTGCAATGTCGGACAGGATTTCCACCGGTAAAGCCTCTAGCATTATGTCGAATGTCGAGATGTAAATGTCAATGTTGGGAACACAACCTGCAGAAATGCTCCTACCTAAGTATGGTATAGAAAGGTCTCATAGCAAGGCCTAATATTTCAAAAGGCCAGGAAGTGACGCTTGAACGTGGCAAGGCATTCGGTTCCAGGGAAATACTAAGCTGATAAACGCAATTATTGCCCAATGGTGATAAGGATTAATCAATTGCCTGCAACTAAGCCGTATAGTTCAAGTGAATGGGGGAATCTGTTACGTATGTTTCAGTAGCTTGCCGATTCGACCCGATAGCAGATTGAAGGAATTCAAACCCTCACTATTTTGATTTTGCAGCATAGTCTGCGCAGGATGGCGATATCGCGAGCGCCACTCTCGTCGTACCTATCCCCATCCACATCTTAGGTTTAGTAATCAGTAGTTTGTGCAGATATAGATTGCAATTCCTCATCTGTGTCAAATGGAGGTGTCTGTGTAGATCGCCCATTTTCTAATTATTCGTAATACCATTAAACGTGGTCATCTGCCCATCGCACGAAAGGTAGCATTTGCTGTCACAAGCATGGTACGAGTAATACAAAGAGAAGGCATATATATATATGGGTAATATATTTGCGATAGCATATGGGAAAATAGTTGGCCACTCTATAGCTCTGACTAGCCTTCCGAGGATCTTGACAATGCATTGGCTTTTAGGAACCAAACTCTGGATAGTTGCGACGTGAGTCCCCCATGACTAACCCCCAATACATGACGATACTCAATTACCAGTAACAACTCTAGGTGTAGACGCAGCCGCTGTAGCCCGGCATACATACCCAACGAGAGAAATGCCTGCCATGGCCAAGCAGCCAACAAGAATCTGCAGCCTGCCACTCCATTTCGACCCGATGGAGTAGAACTTCGATGTCAACGGTGCCGCGGAAGGCGGTCACCTTCTTACCACCATGATCATCAGCAAAACCCTATTAGATCTCCTTCCGTCGGAATTTGCTCGCGTAGAAGGACAGGGTGTGCTGGAGCTAAATGGAGCCTCAATGGTTTATATGACCCAGATGGAAGGATTTGCCAGGTCTATGAATTACCAGTGGATTGATGTGGGGCAAATAGTGCTTGTCTACTTTTACATTGAAACATGCAATCAAGACGCTACGCTATTGGGCTATAATGTAGATTTACAGCTGGTTTTCCTGTTGGGGAGAAGGGAGTTTATCACGTCCAATATCTATAATGAAGCAAAAGATAGGGATTTATGAGGAAGTGCTTCAATGCAGATACCGTGTCCCCACTGCTAGGTTTGGACAGGCGCTACATATTTAGTCTTGTCCGAGCTGCATACAAAGAATTTTTCGTTAACGGATAGACGAAGCTATTTTTTCTTATCTAAGCTATTGAAGAAGGACTGCCGTGACAATAGGCAGGTTTGTAAAAAGTTACACATGACCAATCCTTGGCAGACAGGTCAGAGGATCACAGATCTATCAAAACACGCAACACAACCATGGAATATGTCACTGTGCTATAAACAAGGACGAGATGCATTGCATAAAGACTGGGCCGCCAACCGGTGATCATTCGCGTTCTCTCCAATGGTTTGACCAAGAAGAGAATACCAGCAAGAGCATTGTAGATGGCGACCTTGCCAAATTGAAGAACCAATGGCGTGTACTCAAATTGGTGCCTTGAAAGTGCATGGATTGCCGGGACCAACATCAATAAGCCAAGGGAGGCACAATGATATGGGAATCTTTCTCTAACCACTGCTTCATTCGGTTCCACGGTGAAGAGATCCACCAAGAAGCCAACAGTTACCAACACCAAAGATGATAAATAACTTAAACGAGTAGATGGCTCGGTTCCAAATTGCAGAACCACGAATGGAACGGCCGTTGCACCAATCAAAACAAGTGTCCCAATAAACTCGAGCTTTTGCCATCCCATAGTATTGCCTTGCGCAGCGGCTGTTATGATGCGATAGATGATACTCGAGATGCACCAGTATAGCACACCGGCGCAAAATAAAAGGACGGCAACAGAGTTGAGAATAGCCTCGGGTGTGGAGGGGAAATGAAAAATAAGTAAATGAAGCATAAATAGTAGGAAGTAGGAGGAGGTAAAGATGTGGATAATTGTGATTACCGCGCAATCACGCAGCCGTTCTGTCTGTTGATTGTCCATTGCTTCGAAGATGTGTATATAACGTTGGATAGGGTAAGAAAGTCGCCTTTTATAGTAAAATAGAATACCAGGAAGGAAAGGGAGACTCGGGTTCGAAAGAGATATTATAGCCCTCAAGAAAAAGCGAGCATCAGGAATCACATACCGCCATGATAAGAGAAGGAGAAACTTTGAGCTTTTTGTGTTCACGAGCTGAAACGGTTTATTTTTGGCAATTTATGGCAGGCAGGTCTGGAGATATGTTTGCTCTAATTATTAACGTACTCAATTAATTGGCTGACGTTGAGTGTAAACTAAGTGGTTAGGGTACTGCAACATCTATTCCCGGTTGGGCTTTACCATTTTTGTGGCCCCAATGATTATACCATCCAATATAACATTAATTCGGACTGCGACTTGGTATACTGCCTGATTATTTGTACTGTCCTCCACAGTTGGAGTATACTACTGACACAGTGTGAAAGGCGTAGCCGATTCTGGCGTTCTCTCGCCGCTGCTCACTGTGCGAAGTGTGGTTTGCGGCGTGCTTGGGCAGTGGACAATGATTTCTGCACGTGACTTTATCAGTATGTAGTGTGGTTGGCTCTGAGTGGCCCACCAGTAAGCTGCCGTCCTATGGAACCCACTGATGACTAGTGAGTCCGTAACTCTCGCCTTCAATTCATCACTCGCCTTCAATTCATCACTCGCCTTCAATTCATCACTCGCCTTCAATTCATCACTCGCCTTCAATTCATCACTCGCCTTCAATTCATCACTCGCCTTCACTTCACCGGTCTCCTTGGATCATCTGCTACGCCACGGATACAGCGATCTTCGAAAACAGTCTTCCCCTCAGACACTCACACTTTGTTTGTCGATCCGTACAGTAGATTTCTAAAACTTCTTCCCCTTAGAACACTCACGGCTTGTTTCTAGGGCCGTACCCCAGACCCAGCTACTTCGGATTTGGTTTTGATATTAAGGATCATTGGCTTACAATACATGCAAGTTTATCACTAGCCCTAATTGAACTATCTGGGTATCGGGTAAGGGCCGAGAAACAAGCCGTGAGTGTTCTAAGGGGAGGTCGTTTTCGAAATCTACTGTACCTGAAACAAGCTGAACAAGTTTCAGGACGAGTGGTAAGATATTTTCCACTTACAAATCAGTTTAATTTACGAAATGACTGAATCTGGCCTAATGTTGTCTGGGATGCTGGCCGAGAAACAAAGTGTGAGCGTCTAAGAGGTAAACTGTTTTCGAACATCGCTGTAGGAACCCAAGAAACCATCTCCACGCTCTATTCTTAGGTTTCATCACCGGAAATTCCCATTTACTCAGCGGGACTTACCTATTCTGCTAGTTAGGACAAGCATGGTGCTTGCCTTGAAATGCAGCAGAGTGTTCGGTAGACGACTATCTCTCCATTACCTCGAAATGTTATGGAGACGCGGAACGCTTTCACTGGATAAGATCATCCATCGTGTTCTTGTTGTCACAAGTGTACGCAAGAAAACATATTACATGGTGCGAAAGCATCATAGTCTCGCCAGCGTAGACTTCTATAGATACTGCATATTGAAATATAGGAGGTACTCTCATCGACAAGGATATAGTTACATGGCCTTGGATCAACAACATGCTGCCGCCAGGCGATCTCAGATACAACAACAACATATCACTATCATCCAAGCGAGTAAGCCTGCGATTGAGAGACCTGCAGCGGACCAAGCGGCCACAAACAGACCACCGAGGCTTGCATGGATCCCAACTGGATGAAGAGTGTTTTGAATAGCAAAGAAAAACAGGGAATAGACTGCAGTGATACTAGTTGAACCGAGCATGAGAAATATCAGTGCTAACTGCACAACCATCAGTTTCTATCGAATTTGGAAAGATTTGTTTGCAACATACGAAAGCTGTAATGACAGAAATGAGCTTTACTTTCCATGCAAACGCAATCGAACCGACCCCGAATATCATGGTTAAAAGTGTCGCTCCTGCTCCAAGAAAGTAAACCAAGACGAACCAACTGGAGAAGTCAGGATAGCCTTTGAGAGCTTTTATGCCGTCGCTAGGTACTATGTTTCCGATTTCTTCTGACACAGGATGTAGTGCGTTTAATAAGTCGAAAGAGAATCGAATTGATGGATCAGAACAATTGGCGATAGATGGGGTGTGCGTCGTGTGCGTCTGCCCTTGGCAATAACCTAAGAGTCCAACAACATAAAACGCAGGGAGGTTCGGTCTGAGCCCAGTCGTAATCTGAATTCTCTCAAGCCAGATATGAATTCTTATGAATAGGGTGATGGGATACCGGAGCTTACCTTCAGCTGCGTAATATTTGTGATGCTTACCTGAGGCATATATGAGAAGCAGTCAACCAACTTGAGGATGAATTACCTTCAAGAAATAGAAGCGTGATAATGAAGACGTAGATGTGCATCCACCGAACAAGATACCAATAGCGACGAGGGATAGGGCCCAAAGTGCTAATGCAATTAATTTTCCCACACGCTCTAGGTCTTCCATTCTCCGTAGGGCCACTCAATCAGAAACTATCGTTCTCAAATCGCAGTGAATGCGTTGACTGGAATTTACACGGTGACTGGAGGACGTTCATAAGTGTGGTATTATCAGTGACGTTCTTTAAATAGGGCAATTTCACGAAACGTAAAAGAGACCATCAATAAGAGTTGTTTTGGTAACAGCTGGTCTCACCCATCAGGATTAAAATGGCGCCCTTACCTCGGTAGTATGACCTCACCCCACCGAGGCTTGAGCCACTATTTGCGCAACTCTCCTTTAGTCTGTACAGGCTTTGATTAGTGCGTTCTGGCGTTATCTGGCATCTTTCCAACACTGCTTGGACGATAGTTCTACTCTGGCCAAAAGCTGTTGCAGCTATCACTTGATCTGCATCCGTTGCTTCAAGCGAAACCAATTCTTGGCAACTGAAGGGTACTGGGGACCTGCCGGCAACCACACAATTTGCAGTTAGGTATTAGGCTACTGCGAATGGAGCCCTGTTGTCTGGCTATGGGCCTCGCTGGAAATATACACCTCAAGAGGTTGGAAGACAGCTCCTTCAATATTGTTTTCTTGTTTTAAAGTCCACTCTAAGAATATATACACCGACCCTGGAAGTTCTGAAAGAGGTAAGGAGCAGACAATCCCTTGATAACTCCAACGTAATCCCTGCAGCCTTCAAGCATACCCTTCACCTATTACTCCTCTTGATGTTCCTGGAATGATGCATAGCCCGCTAACACCTGAATGGCTGTTTGTTGATCCAGAAACATGAGTTATTTGGGGGATACAAAGGTTGAGCGCCAGCTTCCGTCTTTCGTGAGCCGAATATTCTTGTACCAGGGCCATTACCAGTCAACACGGCGAAGAGGCCCAATCTTGGATTCCTCAAGCGCTACGGTGAATGAGTCGTCTATCATCTGCGTGCAGTATTTTACAGATCAGAGGCCAAACTCCCCCAGTGGAATTAGCTCCGGATGTGTGTAAACAAAGGAAATCTAAGTTTATTGTTTTGGACTACAACAACGTTCCATTGGCTGCAAACATTCAATTCAAGATATAATCGTGGCACCTCCTTTTCACCAACACACTACCGAGGGTTGGTGGGCCCCACTCAACGGTATTTTACACTCAACGATAATTTTTCAAGTACACCATGTATTTAAACCACTATTTACAAATAACCACCATAACTATCTATATACCAATTTGCACCCCTGCTCTCTCTAGCTGCCATTGCAGCTTCATGTTCAGCCTCAGCTAAATCTCTTGCTTTTTGAGCCTGTGCTTTAACTTCCAATTGCCTGGCATGCTTTGCCTGGAAGCGCTGCTGCTTTTTAAAATCAGCATCCTGCCTTTTCACAATCTTCCTATTTGCACATATAGGAGATAATACAGAGTTATTTGACCCAAGGATCGATCTCCTATTTCTCGGTTCATTTGCATCTGCCTGGGCTATGCGAGCCTTTCTCAATTCGGCCCGTAATAATTCATTCTCCTGGGCCAGAAGTGTATTTGCATTCATGCTTCGCTTCATGTGTCTTTCTAACCTCTGAGATTGAATATCAAATTACTCAATGTCATTAACAAGCTTAGTATTAAGCTTGTTAACCCGTCCAATATTATCTGGGGGTGAATTGTTGACAGAGCTGGCGAATTCCCCGGGGGGAGGGAGTATTAAACATCTGGAGTACACCATCTTCCGCTTCTAAATCCAGTGTTTTTTGACGTAAAGGAGCAAGAATAACCTCTGGATTCAAAGGGTAAATACCCCTAGATTCAAATGAAGAACGAATTGTCCTCTGTGTAAAAGCTTGAAGCCGTACACCCTAGATTAGCCGGAAAAAACCCCGCTTTTTGCTTGCACTTCCACCCCACATAACAGCCTTATTATTCGCAGTACGAAAATAATGCTTTAAGCATTGAAAAGCCTGGCCATCGAGGGGCTGGCAGAGGTGGGTTATATAGGGTAAAACATAAAAAGGAATGATGAAATTCTCCTTACAAAAGGAGGTAAATTCGAGGGTTGTATGAGAGCCATGATTATCCATAAGCAGAGCCTCGGCCTGCCTTTTTTATCAATGGAATTGTAGCTTCATGAAAAGAGCAAAGCCACTCGTATGCAGTCTCATCATTAATCCAGCCATTCGGAGTGGGTTTAATACGAAAATGAGGGATTTTAATCTTCGTATACCACTCCTCCATATGGGTAGTGCCTTTAGGTAAAAACCATAGTAGCATAACCCAACCATCGGCAGAAACATATTCAATGCCAGTTATAGATTCCTTTTGGCCGCCAGTTGTGAACACTGGGAGCGAGGACTTTTTGGTGCTTTCCCTGGCCAATTTGATAGCCGGTTTCATCCCAATTGAAGATCTCACGAGGTAGGAATTTGTGCTTTTCAAATAGCGTACGTAGGTTATTAAACCACAGTAGTAATGGGCCATAGTTCTCACTATCTAGGCGCACTTTTTCAGCCATTTTTGGTTTAAAGTATGGCATGTGTGGTGGTAGTCTTTGCATATAACTGTAGACCAATTATGGCCGACTTTATGCTCACTACCCCCCCCGGGTGTAGGATCAAATTTGCAGTCTCTTCAACAAGAGAAGGGGGTATTGCCATATTTTTGTGTAGAGTATCGATCCATGTTCGTAATGCCTTTTCCTGAATTGGATTTAACGCCTTTTTTAGGCTGGCAGACGCAGTTTTGTTTTCGCGACCGTGGATGCGGGCGCGTAAACGCTGGTATGGAACCTCGAATTCACGCGCCAATTTAGCGATATTGGGTTTTTCGAGTGGATGGTATACTTTTACAGCATCTAGAATTTGAGATTCCTGAGTTTGAATTTGATCCGACATTTTTTAGTGGTAGAAAAATAGTAAAGAAGTTGATGTAAGATTGAAAAATTATCGTTGAGTGTAAAATATCGTTGAGTGGGGCCCACGAACCCTCGGTAGTGTGTTGGTGAAAAGGCGGTGCCACGATCAGTGCAGCGATAGCGGGTGCAGAAAATTCAGGGAAGTCGGGTGAACCATAGCATGAAAGAGGCAGAAACGGAGAGTAGTACTACAAACCAAGCCGCGACCAAAAGCCCACCCAAGCTTGCATGCGCTCCCAAACTTTGTAAACTATCCCGTATGGCCGACTTAATGGACACGTGAATTGCCGTTATGGTGGCGGAAGCGCATACCAGGAAAACGGAGGCAAGCTGAGTTTTCATCAATACATAAATCTTGACTTTGGCTATCGTCGGACTTACAGATGAAAGAGAAACTGTTACTAGCCTTAGCCACCAGGAAGCCGTAGGAGTACCAACAATGCGTTTCCATTGGGAAACCATCCACATAGCCTCTAACGCGATTGCTATAGCAGTAGTTGTTGTTCCGATAATATATGCTAAGACAGAGAAGTGTGATGCTCCATGATATGCTTTGAGGACCCTTTTCAGGTCGATTGAAAGCAGTGTATCAATTTCATTAGAAACTGGGCCAAGGAGGCTTGACAGATCGAATGAGAACGAGTTGCTGACCCTAGAGCAGTTGGAGGATGTAGAGCCACGATTTGCCTGGCAATAGCTCCGGAGCCCGACAATGTAGGCAGTAGGAAGGTGGGTCTTCAAGTGTTCCGTCAAATATTGCGCACGCTCCATGGCTTCATCTACCTCAGTCCCCGTTGCGCTAGTAGCCTACGCAACGCTGCTGGCAAGGATCTTTGTAGCGGTCCCAGCCATATCGGCTGTGTCATCAGCTAGGTTAGAGTTACTTATTCCACTGACACTGATCGATCGGCGAATATGGAGCGCTTTTAGCTCCGGAAAGCCGGTTAGGTTCACCTGGAGCTTTCAGTAAACCACGCCATGCGATTTATTCGAGTGACTTCTCACCTTCATAAAATAGAAACTAGAGGGCGAGGACGTCGATGTGCATCCATCGAAAATGAATGCTAGAGGTATCACTGCAAGGATCGAGAACGCCAATGCTGCGAAAACAAGCATTGGCCGTTTTTCACCGTGAGCCAACATTGGAGTGAGCATTTATTTTGGGCCAGACTTCCGACGCTTTGAAAATTTGTACCATGTTCTTGTTTGCGTGACTGCCATTATATAAAGGTAGAATGGCTGGATCGAGGCAGGGAAAATTGGCAAAAATACCAGGCGGGACGATTGTGAGGGGCCGCAACATGAATATCTAGTGACGGCTTGACACAAAAGATTGAGGTTTTCAACGATATTGAACCTGATCGGATTCTATTAGCTAGAGAGTAACTGCTGTTTTACGCGTCTCAGTCGGGTCAGTATTGATTGGGAGTCCTTCAAAGTGCCGTAGAAAAAGAACTGGGACTGGAAACGGAGAATTTCATATGCGTGTCCATTCCTGGCGGTGAAGATTGAGGAAACCCAATTAAGATCGCTTGTCAGGCACACTCAGAAATAGCATTTGCAAAACGTTCCGCACAGTGTTCTCCTAATGATTATTATCTTCCTATGCCCTATGCCAGTCTACGTTCAATGCTATATCTTATGTACCTGATACAAACTTCTTAATACTCAACTAATCCAGTTGCTTTAAACTAACTTTATTAAATGAGAGCTCCCATGGGATGGTGTCCGAGGTGCGAAGTCCATCAGAGGCCGCCTGGGCTCACAAAAAGAGAGAACAAGAACCGAATGATGCGAATTCCTCCATGCTTCGTGGAGCCTGTCGTAATAGTAAATTATTCAAATTGAGTGGCATGAGTTTGTAGAAGAAATAGGAGCACTCCAGGTTTATATCAATTGTATTGGGACCCCCGACCGAGTTTATTCTTCGGTTACAATCAACGGAAAGCAGTACAAATCCATCCAGTGGCTGTACTGTACAGTAACAATGCATATAATTGCCGGGGTGTGAAGTAACTGCCATCAATTGAATGGCCGACTACCCAGCGAACTCGGTATAGTTGATCAGAAGGTTCATAGATCGGTCCCGCCATTGAAATGGCCTGAACCATGCATGCGTTCTAAGCTTTTCACATAAAACGGAGCAATTGGTATTTCAACATAAGTGCAAGCTCATGGGTTTTAAACTCCATTTTTCAGACTGTACAGTTCCACTAGAGCCAGCTGAGCTTTTGTTTCTTGTTCGCCCAATTTATAAACTGACCACCGTAATCGCTCGGCCACTTGGTGAGCGGGCCAGGAGTCGCAAGAAGGATTGAACGTAGCTTCTTGATAAAACTGACACAAGTCATCAAAAGCCTGGGATACCGAGTCTTGCAACTGCTTAAGATAGTCGTAACAAGCGCGGTAATACGCATTCTCACCCTGCTGCCGACCAATCTCGCGGACTATATCTGCAATTTCCTCCATTACGCCGCAACAGGTATGACTAAAAAAATATGGCAGGAATATAATGCTAAAGCTATGCTGCTTTCACTATGCATATATATATATCCTGTTCTTACAACCTCAGCAAAATAAGCTAGGTTGTTTTAAAGTGAGACTCACATATTCTTCTGGTAATTGCGGTTTTACAGAGAAGAGCTCTAATTCCCTAGGCTTGATATTTTCCGGCTCTCTGAAACCCCCGAGAGGTGGGGATGTTATACCTCTATTTCAGGTAAATATATGCGGGTTCCATCACTTTTTGGAGTCTTGTAGGCCAAGGTAACACTGATTTTGCTAGCGCCGAACCCTGGAAGTTGTGGAATTTTTGCTCAAGTTTAGAGCCTAGATCAATGGATTAGAGATCCACGGAACCGTCAGCGAGACATACAGTCGTTCTCGAAATCGGCTTGACAGACACACTCTTTGTCACTCTCTTCTGGCCCCACCGCCAAGGCCTTAGCGCAGATCAAACATTGAGCGGGCCGCATCAAATTGATGGACATCATGAAAGGCGTCTAGTATGGTACTGTATCATGGTATGTAAATTACAAAACGGTGACGAGAATGGCATGGAATTCCGTGGATATCTAGAACGGTCGCCTAGCAACTAGTCAGCGCCTGGAGGAGCTGCTAGGTAGCTTCAATTTTCCTTCTCAACCTGTACCGCATGCGTTCCTTGTGCGGCTATGACTTGGGAAAGGTATTTCTTGGACTTTCAGGACATCAAATAACAACATCGGCAACTCACTTTTCCAAAAAGGTTCTGTTGTTTGCGCGCGACCAGCAGCAGCCTTTCGGCAGCCCATCAATAAAGAATCCCTAACACTAGATCTGCCGTTACAGTAGGACCCAGAAACATGAGGCCGAGCTCTCTCATTAATCATGGTGATTATGGTGTTCAACAAATTGAAACTTTTAGTCAGTGGGACGATGCATCCCAATATGTCCCAACTCTGGGCAATTTCTACCGCTCACCAGACTCGACATCCGACATAAGCTGTACCAACACCGACCCCTTACCCCTTATCAACTACGGCTATCCGTACCAGACTGCTTGGCTGACGGATAGTCTTCCTCTACTTCAGTTTGGTGACTGGGAGGAAGGTCGGACTTACGACGAGGATCCACCGACTTGTATTCTCTATTTGCTCGAGTGGAAGGTCACCCTCAATAATCGGATGGGGGCGAAAGATATATAGCAAGATCTGGTGTCAGCTCCCCGATTTTACTGGATGCTATTTCTGCAGCCAACGTTAAAAGGAGTTACTCATCCGAAAGTATCCACATCGGAAAATTGAATCAGATGACACGTCTGTTGTCACATCATCCACGCGACAGAAGGGCCTTACCCTCAGGTTTGGCCAGACTGACATTGATTGGATCCCTATTGAGAAACAGCTCTCGGATTGGGGAGACCTCTTTCGTGCTGGTAAGAAACTGACACTTATTATCTCGTGCAATCATACCGAGAACACGCAAAGCTCCGCTGTAAACCGCAGGGCGACCGATAAACAAGGTGCTTTTTCTGCTACCTAACGCATGCTTTAAGAGCGAGAGGAACAGATGTGTACATAGAGCAAAGTGTACGATCCACGGTGCAGAGCTTACACAGGAATGCACGAATCCGGAAACGCGAGATAAGTCGCCTGCACCGGCGCAACCACACTGTCGTAGAACTGCTGCCGGAATTGAGAGAAACTGAAATCCTTGTAGAGATCCCGCCCCTGAAACGCGAACTTCACACACCGCTCCGCTGCATATCCATAAGAGTCTCCCGCAAGACTGTATACCTCATCCAGCTTGCTCAGCGCAGCCTGATAGTCATCGAGCAGCGAGGTTGGCGTCACGCTCTCGTCAGACTGATGGCTCTCCGCAAATGACCTGTTGATGCAGAGCTCGATGAGGAGAATACCGAGTGCGAAGATGGTTCTGTTGGGAATGAGATAGTTTAAGTCATTTGCGGCCGGCTGCTCCAGGCTTGTTGGAGGTAAAAATTTATACGACGCACACGGGTACCGGGAGAAAATTTCTCGGCCGCCTTGGTTTCTCTCGAGAAAAATATTCGCTTGCTTTTCGTCCCAGTGGTCGCCAAGCCAGGGACTGCCACTCAGGTGCAAGACTGACCAGGCGGTGGAGGCGGCGATGCCGTACCTCTGTTTTGTGGACAGTGAGATATAAGGGGTTTGTCCCTGAGCTGACTGCTCGTGGGATGAAAGTAGAGACTTGAGAGGAACTGCTTTGATGATTTTTGACAACTCTGTTTGGCTGTAGTCGAGAGAGAATTTTCGACCTTGTTCCTCGTCTGGGTCTTTGAGAAAGCCTGTAAGAATCCATCGATCGCATTCTGTCCCTACTGTACGACAGAGGCTGGTTATCTCTGTACTCGCTGTAGTTGACATAGCCGTTGGTGCTGTTAATAAAACCGGCGGAGTTGGTGGCGGTGAGGGTGTCCGAGACAGTGAACGGAATTTGAAGTGCGACAACTTAGATCGGAGGGAAGAGGATAGTGGAGAAGCCCTAGCGGGAGTGGGCGGTGGTGTCAGTAAACTAGGAACCGAGCTGGCTATGTTGTTGGGAGCATGTGGTGTAACATGAAGCTTTCGCCATAAATCAGGCAGCTGGGATGTTTGTGAGCTTGTTCCGTATGAGAGGGCCACTTTGACAGGTTTAGCTGCATTAGATTCAATTGCCTCCCAGTCAAGATCGATGGCAGCTTGGTGAGGTGGTGAGCAGGCACAACGGAATCCAAATTCGAGTGCTCGGTGAAGAGAGCTTAAGCACTGACGGATTGAATTGCAACGCTCAATATTGAAGCGGCGTTTGAGATATTGGACTTTGCCACTATCGTCTTCCGCGGGCACTTCCGGTTTCTCAACAGACCTCCTTAAGTCTTCATTCCAATGCCTAAGGTCCTCGACCACTTTGTTGCGCTTTTTTGTGCTAAAGCTATGTTTCACCCGATGCCATTCCCATTGAGCTCTATCTTGAAGGGCGTTCGGCTAATCATATAGTTTCAGATTAGCTCAGCTTTGATATTTAGCAACAGCAAGTTATACCTTTCCATTAATGTCGATATCTAGGCTCTTCAAGAGCCCAGCAGTAACATCGTCCATACGTTGAACGATAGAAATCAGTTCGCGAGACATACTCGGGAATTTAGTATCAAAGCATTTGCGTAGCTCTTCCCTCGATGGCTCATTATCAAGTCCAAGATTGCAAAGGGTGGTCTGTAGTTGTCGATTTTGAAAGATCAGGTCGGTCCGGAAAGTCTCTATTGAGATGCGGTAATTGTGAAAAGCCTCGAGAGGCTCCACATACTTCTCAAGAGCCCAAATTGCGATTGGTATACCGCCCAAAACAAGACCAGCGATTTCAGCCATGGCTGTGCCTCGTGAATTATAGTCAGCTACTACCTGTCGCGTGGGCTATGTCACTCACCTGCAGTTCCAAAGGGCTACTCCAATAGTAATGAGTAACATCTAACTGAACTTGCCTACAAGCATCAGTATAGTTCGCTACCTATCGATGCACCGATGTGTTGCAAAACCTGGCGGGAGACGGGGTTGAGCGAGGGGCTCAATCTGCTACGGTAAGACGCGATCTGGTCCTGACGGCGTCAATGCGGCGGGCGGTGACCTGGGACTTTCATGCTGCACGTGGCAGGATCTGATTTGGTCAGCCAGTGCAGGTCTGGACGCGCAAATGCAGAAGTAGACCCACATATGATGCTCATTGGCTAGAAATTCCTGTGCCATGGCGACGTCTCTCCTCATCCCCCCACCTTGCCGACATCAACAAAATCTTGCTAATATTATGTATGGTAAACATCCCAAAATAGCGCACTTCACGACGGCCAGTCTCTCGAATGTCTTACCGCGAAGCAATAGTGAGGCTCTCGTAATCAGAACTTCCCTTTGATCGCCATCATGATGGCCCTCTCAACCGGGGTGCCCGGTTCATCTCTTTCGGAGTTATACCTAGAGTGCATACAGTCATTTGGAGAATTCCTTCTCGCCCTCAGCGGGAAGGACTGTCGTGTTATTTGTCTTGAGCAGGTTCGCCTTTCCGAGCTACTGGAAGCGTACGGAAGGACCAAGGTCTGGGGCGATCAGACTAAAGCAGAACTACCGGCAGGAGCGCGTGGGTCTTTAGACGATACCCTCCGGCACGATGTTGAGCTCAAATATTTGGTGCAGGCCATTCTCATGCGACTAAGAGCACTCCTCAAACAAGGCAAGTCGTATAGGTTTGGCGCTTGAGACCTAATCTAACCTTGCTTTTAGCAACATATATAGCTGGAAGAAAACACAATCCAGTCCTTGGATCTGATCACGACTCAATCAGCAGTGTCAGCGCCGACTCTGATTCTGGTTCGAACGACGATGGCGAACACCAACACTATAGGATGCCAAAGATTCGTCTGCTTGTCCAGCAGACGCTGGAGCAGATCCGATCGCTTTACGACATGTCTGCTTTGCTACGGCGCCCTAAGATTGCAGACAAATATATCCGCTCTGTTAACTCAAGATCGCATATAGCCACATTGAACAAGCCTGACCACTTGCCACTAAGTGTCGGGTTCAGCAGATCTGATGAAGCCCACATAGTGGAGAAGGTGCTGCAATGGCGCGGCTTGACTAAGAGCGCGTGGGGTATCGATTTTAAGGTTGAGATCGTTGCTCCGATAGGACAAGGGTTGACAAATAATTCGGTTGAAGACATTTTGTGGTTTTGCCAACGGCTTGCAGCAGCGAACACAAGGCGACGTGAACAATTTCAATACTGGAGGGATCATCCATATGACCACAGGCAAGACACTACCAACGCAGCCCGACTTGCAACACCAGATCTAGCCCAGTCTCGTGTCAAACAAGTTGAAGAAAAACAGGAACAACAAAACCGAGCGCTGACCTTTAAGCCTTCCATTCCCGATGTCCCACGTGGAGGGCCCAGGTCAGCTGTGTCGAAACAAAGTTTTTCTACTGCTGCTGTTTCAGACATTCACGATACGAAGACCAACGTACGTCCGCGGACTGTGTACGCACCCACAGCCTTCGGCCAAGACCGTTCCAATTCTGTGCCAGATCCCCCTAAGATAGAAATTGGAACCACTTTCTCATGTCCGTACTGTGGGATGACTCTCGAGTCTAGCGAGATGAAAAACAGGCAGTCATGGAAGTGAGTCAGCCCTCTAGTGCTTCAACTTCCCAATTGCTCTAACCACTTAATTTATAGGCGTCATGTATTTCGCGATCTCCGTCCCTACGTCTGCACATTCGAGGACTGCCAGAACGGTGGGAAGCTGTACGTCAGCCGCCACGACTGGATGCATCATGAGCTTCAAATTCACCGGCGCAACTACGCCTGCAAAATATGCCAGAAGATGTGTTCCAGCAGACAGGAAATGTCGGTGCACCTTCGAGAACATTATGATGAATCAATTCCCCCAAATCAGCTGGGCGTCATTCTGGATCTCTGCAATCGCCAGGTAGATATCTTAGAATACGAAAAACACTCATGCCTGGTCTGTGGAGATGAACTCTTATTGTCGGCATTGCAGGGACACCTTGCCGCTCACATGGAGGACATCGCCCTCTTCGTATTGCCCAATACCAATGAAGAGGAGGATATTGGAGATTCGAAGGCCTCGGTGCGTGTGGCGAAACTAGAGTCTAAAGGCAAAACCAGTGGCACCAAGTCAGACGCAAGCAGCCTTGGCTATTCTGCAGCCGGAGACTATAGGCAAATTTCGACCGATTTCTTAAAGCTTCTCACGAGCGAAGAAGCGGGATATACTTCGAAATTTTTGGCTTGGAGAACAATAGACGACGATCTAAAATCGGCACCGGTCAAACAAATGATGGAGACTCGCAAAACGAAGCTCGGTGCGGACCATCCCGACACCCTGACCAGCATGGTCAACCTAGCGTCGACGTATAGCAACCAGGGCCGGTGGGAAGAGGCCGAAGCCATGCACTGGCGGGCGTTACAAGCCCGAGAGAAGGTGCTAGGGCTCGAACATCCAGACACGCTCGCCAGCGTCAGCAACCTTGGTTCAGTTCTTGATAGCCAGGGCAAGTACGAAGAGGCTGAAGCCATACACCGGCGCGCGTTACAAGCCCGAGAGAAGGTGCTAGGGCTCGAACATCTAGACACGCTCACCAGCATCAGCAACTTTGGTTCAGTCCTTTATAGCCAGGGCAAGTACGAAGAGGCCGAAGCCATACACCGGCGCGCGTTACAAGCCCGAGAGAAGGTGCTAGGGCTCGAACATCCAGACACGCTCGCCAGCGTCAGCAACCTTGGTTTAGTACTTTTCCGGCAGGGCAAGTACGAAGAGGCCGAAGCCATACACCGGCGCGCGTTACAAGCCCGAGAGAAGGTGCTAGGGCTCGAACATCTAGACACGCTCACCAGCATCAGCAACTTTGGTTCAGTCCTTTATAGCCAGGGCAAGTACGAAGAGGCGGAAGCCATGCACCGGCGCGCGTTACAAGCCCGAGAGAAGGTGCTAGGGCTCGAACATCTAGACACGCTCACCAGCATCAGCAACTTTGGTTCAGTCCTTTATAGCCAGGGCAAGTACGAAGAGGCCGAAGCCATGCACCGGCGCGCGTTACAAGCCCGAGAGAAGGTGCTAGGGCTCGAACATCTAGACACGCTCACTAGCATCAGCAACTTTGGTTCAGTCCTTAATAGCCAGGGCAAGTACGAAGAGGCCGAAGCGATGCACCGGCGGGCGTTACAGGGATATAAGGATGTGCTAGGGCTCGAACATCCGTACACGCTCACCAGTATCAGCAACCTTGGTTCGGTCCTTGATAGCCAGGGTAAGTACGAAGAGGCCGAAGCTATGCACCGGCGAGATTTAGAAGGGTCAGAGAAGGTGCTAGGGCTCGAACACCCAGACACGCTCACCAGCGTCAGCAACCTTAGTTCAGTTCTTGATAGCCAGGGCAAGTACGAAGAGGCTGAAGCCATACACCGGCGCGCGTTACAAGCCCGAGAGAAGGTGCTTAGGTCAGAACACCCAGACACGCTCGCCACCGTCAGCAACCTTGGTTCAGTTCTTGATAGCCAGGGCAAGTACGAAGAGGCTGAAGCCATGCACTGGCGCAATGCATAGTTTGAAACATGCTGGATCTCTGAGTAGTTTATGTTTCATTGTCATCGTTATACTAGTGCGTTTTGGGTCAGCATTCCGTGATAATTATAGCACACCTGAATAGTTATTCATATTAGGACTTCATAAATGATTAGTAACCATGAGAATCAATCCATACTGTACACTGGTTGAGAAGGAATTCAGAAGTCACTTAGCAGAAAGTCCGGGAAGTAGTTGCTAGGCGACCACCCTGCCTGGTTTTCACAGCCCCACGGTAAATATCCACGGAATTCCATTCAGTCTCGAAGTATCGTGTAATATACATACCAGGATACAGTATTATACGAGGTGCCATTTTTCGATGTCCATCAATTTGATGCGGCCTGTTCAATATTTTATTTGCGCTAAGTTCTTGGCGGTGGGGCTAGAAGAGAGTGACGAAGAGTGTATCTGTCAAGCCGATTTCGAGAACGACTGTACGAAGCTCTGATTCAATGACAGTGTTACTAGCTGTGTATCTTATCAAGGACACGAACAAATTCGATCTAGGGAATCTACGAAAGGTTTGGGACCACAATAATGATGTAAGTCGGCTGTACTGTACCTTCATAAACTTTCTCATAATCTCCTATGGGCAACATACAGAGCATAAAAGAAGGTTAGGGTGTCCTTTCCCCGAACCACCTGTGGTGTGGCGTCTCGTGGGCTTCGGTGAATGCTGAGGAGCTGCCATTGCTAGTACTTCTGTTAGGCAAGGCCCATCACATCTTGCAGGCCGCGTGACACCTAGGCGATATCAATCACCATCTCTGTCAAACCACGCTGTGCCTTGAACAGTGGCAGGCTTCGTTGGCAAAATGGGGCATTGGCAATGACAGTCCTCGAGACTATGTTGTGGAAATAGGCTGGGACTGACAATTGAGATACTTGGATATATTAGGGTGGCCTATGTATACAGTATATGTACCGAACAGAGACGCCCTATATCGCCTTCTACGTCGGAAACAGAGATGTTGGCTCTCGAACCCTAATCACATGATCCGCTAAACCAGATATGATACCCAGCAAGAATGTCTGAAGGAACCCGCGGGCTTGGCTGGCTGTCAACAGAATGGGTATAGCCTCCGATGCTTATTATATCCATAGGCCTGGGATGTTCCACAATCTGTGGCAAGTAAAGGGCGATGTATTGTGACAGCCCGTGCTCCCGTTCACCGCGTAGTAGCTGCGCCAAAAGTTCGTGCATGCCGAACTGTTCGGAGACAGTTGATCTTTGTTAGAGTACCAGGTGGCATAGTTGAAGGCCACGGAGATATCCAGTTGCTCCTGGCCCTCAAGGGTACGGCTCAGCCGGAAACTACGGGAAACAAAGAAATTTGGGAGATTGAGTGTAAGAACAGAATCGTTGAATACGGTGAAGCCAGCCCCGGCTCCTTGACAGTTCAGTCCGTCCCAGGTCTCGATTTTGAGCGGGGAGGAAAGCTTCTGAAAGATTTCAGCGGAAGGTTTTGGATATCGTGGAATCTTGGCATGCTTTACTTCTATTGGAGTTTCGATGGTTTGGGTTGACGCCGATGGCGCAATTACTGCGGCAGCGCCCAGGAGGTTAACAACGGTTGCCGACCTCATGAGGAATGGGATAATGTTATATAGAATGGAAAGATTACCTCGAAGTAAATTTTGGAAGGGCTGCAATGTTGCCGCTATACTTTATACAAAAGAAGCTTTGCTGGGATAGAAAGTTCATTTTCTTTTATGAGGAAGTTCCGGTTATGGTATATAGTTCAACAACTTGGAACATTTTTTTGAGCGAACTTCGATCTACCCATGTAAAGTTTGCTTAACAAATTATGACTTTTGGCTTCCCGGTATACTTCTGACCAAAATGTAGCTTATTATGTTTTTGTATTCCCGTTTCTCTAGTTTTCTACATTCTGCCAAGTGCTGCAGCGGAGACTTTCTACTAGCACATGACATCTTGGCGGAATCACTAACTGATGTAAAAATATTATATAATAAACCCGTCCGTTCGGATTATATGAACGAAGGATGAAATAATCAAATGCAGTCACTTGGCATTCACACGAATAAAGAATTGAGTTACCTTATTAGTGCAGTATCCGTAATTTCCAACCAATTCCTATTGTATTCGAAGAGTTTACAGAGAGCGTTAAGTTCTCGATTACTGCTGTACTTTGTTTTGGTTTGTCAAACGTGTAATAAATTTGACTAAAATTGAAAATTGAGAACCAAGGTGCGTAGGATAATGCAGGTATACTTACCACAGGAGGCTCACATACTTTAAATGAAATCTCCAAATTGATGACAGAGTCTGGCCTAGCATATGGAGCGAGGCAGTCAGCACCCTTGAATATTCCATACCGGTACTTTGAGCTTCTGGTGTTTATTACCTACCTGGATACAAAAAAGAATACTTCAGGCGCTATTAGTACTTGTATTAGCGTATCATCTAATTACGGTTTGAGATAGCAGATCTCCGTTCCCGACATCGAAGCCGATACTAGTAGCCAGTGTAGCACATGTATCTTGGAGGCTGCTCGTCATATTCGGCATCTTCATCCATCCAAATAATGAGAGAATCCGAGCTGACCTGACTGCCCCTGATCTGTGGGACAATCCGGGGCAGGACTAGGGGAGAATATGGTAGGTGTACGACCAAACTAACCGGGTGTGGGGGGCATATTGTGAACGTTCGTCACATGGCTCGCCTATCTGGGTTTGATAGCATCGTCTCTACAAAGGCTATTAATCACCGTGAAAATCTTCAAGTGAGGCAACACTTAAGCAGATCTGTCAAGAGACTGTTTGTATGGCGACAGAGAGCTGGGACTCAACTCCCTCACTCGCACTGGGGCCCTGAGACTGGTCTTGATCGGTCAAAGCGGTGTCGTCCTAGTTGATCTGCCCGTGATGAATTTTTATGGAGCAAACTGAGAGACACCCGGGGTGAGAGGCGTGGTGAACCACAAGAGTCCAGAAGCCTCTTATACTGCGCGAAAAACCGGTTTAGTGACCTATGCAAGTAGGCCTGTCGAAGCTACTTAATATCGATCATTTTCTGTATAAAACTCCTCATCAATACATATACAGAGCATCATCGATGACCACCCAGGCTTTACTAAATGAAAGACGATCAGAGGCGATTTTACTGATCATAAGATTGTGTGGGATGTTATCGGTTTTGACGTATATAGAACCTCAGTCGTATGAAAAATAGATCGTGTAGAAAGAGGATGCATTCTCTCAATAATAAGTAATAAAGCCAAATTAAGCGAGTCTAATAAAATTAGCATTGATAAGAAAACCAGGACGGCCAATAACACAAAACGGAGTCCCTCCCGCATTCGCGCTTTGGGGATGGGAAAACCCAGTGGGAGAAAACCATGCCCAGAGGAACTGAAAACAAAGATAACAATGTGACGACGTTGAATCGTCCGAGCCAGGATGGATACCCCTTGCATAGACGTATTCCTAAGCCTCAAATCCCACGTAGACTACATGAGATCAGAGCACAGCTCGTTTCGCAATTTCCAATGCTTCTTTGAAACGCGCAGCTTTGGAAACCAAGTCGTTTCGCCGGCCTGCCGTGGCGAAGTTCTCACCCGCAATTTCCGTCAACTTATCCTCTTCAGACTCGCCAACCATATCAGGCGAGAACATTTTCACGGGACTCCCATCTCCTAATATGTATCGCTCAGAAACTTGAACGACGACATTGTCCGTGAAGCGCTTCATGGCTACCTTGTAGTAAGCCTTCAAAATATCATGGATATCGAAGATCGCCTGATCCTCGTTGCTCAAATGTACTCCTTGCAACACCCTGCTCATATCAAAGTTAATTCCATCACGGAGCCCAAGTGTCTCAAGCCTCACTATGACTCTTTCTTGACGGATCGACGATAGAGTATCGGCATAGTAATGGTTGACAGTCTGCAGAATACCCCCACGTTCGTCGTTCAGTATCTTGAGGAGTTGTTCGTACGCTTGATTGTATGTCTCGTGTTCCCGAGAACAGATAATTCTCCAAAGCATCTCTCTCACATCGTCGTCTGGCAGAATCTCTGCCAAAATTTTCTCATTGTAAGAGTGAATCGCGGAGGAAATCTTCTCAAGGTATTTGACCGCTATTTTCTCCCATGGGCTGGACTGCTGGCGGAACATATTCTGCAGCACAATGGGGTTCACGGTTCCTGGTAGCTCAGAGCCACGGGACTCAAGGTAGTAACGCCGTATCCAGTCATATATGTTGTCTGAGTCATCGGCTGGCCTGCGGAACTCTGGATCGTTTTCATCTCGAATCGTACGGAACACTTTGGAATGCCCGTTAGTTGCCATAGCCTTGGCAAAATCATCCGCATACTGCCGTAAATGCATCCTAAGCTTGAGTATGCTTAATGCATCCAGATCAGCACTATAGTTTCCATTTAAGGCCTTGTCAACCTCGTTCTGGTAAGTGGATGAGATACGTGTCAAGAATCGTCTCTGTTCTGCAGGGGTTTGACGGGAGGGACCAAGAATCTCCAATTCCTTTTGAGTTTCCAGTGAAAGTCGTTCAATATCCGCCACAACGGCCGGGAATTCAGAACGGATGTGGTCGTACAAAAGATGACCTAGGAAGGACTTCAATGCATTGATACCTACACGGTCCCTTTTGAGCTCAGTCCAAGGCGGGGTTGTTGAGAAGAACCGTCTCTCTCTTTCGTGTCGGCCCTCGATGGTGACACCCTCATTGAGCTCCTGTGTAGAGCGATTTCTAACAGCAAACCACCCGTGGGTGAGGCGTTCAACTTCATTTTTGGCGATACGTAGAACCTTTTTCATGTTTAATCTAGGCCTTTCAATACGGTGTGGCTGAAACTTACACCGGCTTCGTCCCCTGCTTGGAGAGCATCGCATTTGGTGATGATCCCAACGGTCCGTTTACCTGCTGAGTCAGCGGCGCGTGCCATGGAAAAGCTGATACAAAATTAGCACCCTCTTGTCACAGCTCCAGAGCAACTTTACTTACACTTCTTGGTTGGCAAGGTTATTGCGTGCGTCCATAACAGCCCTGAAAATACAAGTAAGCCAGACAATCCCTTCAACACGTCCATATCAAGTATATTTAACGCACAGAATGATGGTACGCTTGTCCGTCATATAATCCTCGATTAGCTTCCGAATAATCGCGCGGTCCTCTTCGGTCTGGAACTTTGTAGGATCTTCAATTGGGGTTAGCAAAGTATTCCATATAACCCGATATTTCCTTACTATGAAACAAGCCCGGAACGTCCACAACACTGAGGTGGCGATGGTCTGGGCCCGAAAGCTCAATCTGAGTATGTCATCTGAGAACCTTTTTTCCACGTCCTCCAGGTTCGTCGTCTTCGGGCCGGGTACCCCCATACATGTAGCTGCCTATCAACGAGTCAGCAAAGACCCCATCTTGACCCAGTACGTTTCTGACCTCATTGAATATGTCTTCAAACTCTCGGCATCCAAAATCCACAGCTGCCAGTCTTCTCTCGAACCCAAGAAGACGCTGGTTCAAAGTCTCATCGAGACGCGAAGTTGGCCCGGGGATGATTGTAATCCTTGCCTCGCCTTCCTGTGCTGGCGCTCGGCGCAAGACAATCTGGGTAGCAAACCTTGTACAAAGCTCACTAGCCACCGGGAACGAAAGACCGGTTAGACCTTCCAGAAGGGATGATTTTCCGCTCGACTGATCACCAACTACAACGAGCTACAGTAATTTAGTAAACGTAGCTCTTGGGGCCAATGTCATATCACTTACCTGAGGAAGAGAGACATTCTCACTGATACCCAGTTCTCGGAGTCGATCAATGATTCCTAAAAGCCGTATTCGCTTTTCATTGTCCAAGCCATCGGCTCCAGTGAGATCGATTGCCCGTTTTCGGGTCATGCTGGTTGCCAATTGTTTGGTTTAAAGGTAAGAAGGATCCCAGGTTTGAAGGCCTTGATTCGGTGGTATAGGGATATCGACAGAAGGCGGGGGTTGAACACTCGTAGAGGGTTCGAAATCTCTGTAGTTATACTTAGGTGGCGATTAAAGCGAAAGACCATTTTTGACAGAGGCGCAAATGCAATGCTAACTTACCTATCCATCCAACATTCCTTGGCTGGCATTTTTGCAACCAACACACAAGGTGAAATCCTAGACCAGTCCAATAATTACAGCAGCACAATAAAGAATAGCCACGAGCTATATGATACACCGCTCTGTTATTGACGGTTTCCCCGTCCCTTGCAGTCTTCTGGGCGCATTTTCGTCGAGAATGTAGAGTCACACTGGATTCTGGCCGTGAGATGTGAGATGTGGTAAGTGTCCGCCAATTTGTTGAGGCCGCAAATCAGCTGTGCGAGAAGGCCCTGCATATGAGACCTGTTTGCCCAAGTGCACACCACATTAGGCACGGGAGATCAAGATTTCTAAAGCCAAGATGGAAATCAGTTTCAGGGCGCATGATATGAGGAAGGCTTTGAATACACGGGCAAGCAGGTTAAAGAAGATCAATTGGAAAACCAGTGCGAGAGATGCAATGCCATGTATCTAGCACTTGGAATGTCAGCAGGATGGGATCTGTTACTCACTTGCTAGTCCTCCAGTAGCTTTGACTCGGCTGCTAGCCCCCCTAGGCTTGATATTGCCTCAACATTCTGAAAATGCGGCATTCCATCCCCTTGTTCACTTTGTTTGTGTCCGTTTTCTCCAGCCGGGCTGCATATCAAATCGCCCAATCCATCGGAAATTGTCATCGTTCGGCCACACTTCGTGGGTCAAGTCTGCAGCTCCTTCTACCGTTGGAAGTACCATCGTTATTCGGTATAGCGCATTCTGCCCAGACCACATCTTGTTCAATCGCTTGAAATCATGATAAGCCCAATGGGTGAAAGCTTCCTGCTGGTGCGGGGACAAGTGTGGCTTTTTGGCCCTCACCTATGCGCCACGCGAAAAGTGCTCGAGCCCCGTGGATTTATTTACACCACCTTTGAGCGGTAAGCTCAGTCTTGCGGGATTAGGGGTTTTCTATCTTCATCAAGGGCCCTATTGCGGTAGTCAGGGTTTGCGTCTGGTGATTTTCGGCCCATTCTTGGCAAGGTTACGAGGCACGCTGCTCCACAGCACTTGCCCGTTAGTGGCCCGACCCAGTTATATATCCATGTTCCTGTAGGGGCGGGCTTTGGCTTCCTTCGGACTGCGAAGATCGACAAAGCGATCATCTATCCAGTGAGGTTGGCATAGCGCCGCATTCTTCAACCAGCCGGTTATTCCTGTCGAGATTTTATTGTTTTGTTTGCTCGTCCCAATGGAAACTAGTAAACATCGTGTAATATATATGCCAAGATATAGTACCTACCTTACCGGTGCCGTTTTCGATGTCCATCAATTTGATGCGGCCCGCTCAATGATTGATCTGCGCTAAGGTCTTGGCAGTGGGGCCAGAACAGAGTGACGAAGAGTGTATCTGTTAAGTCGATTTCGAGAACGACTGTAGACCAAACTTATTTCATAGTTCAATTAACTCGTCATTGGGACTATTTCTGCCATTTTTGTGATACTCCCTCCTATTTGTTTGAAATATGAGGTTGCTTAAAACTGGCAATAAAAATTGAGGGACTGAGACGAACGACAGAAGGAAGGCATTGCCGAATAGGAAATATATATGCCCTTAGTTGATTGGGATCCCGATATTAAAGTATCATGTTGGCCATGAAAGATCAGTCACTCCGTCCATAATCCTTGAAGCACTTCTCATTTCATGAATAGCTTGTCAAAATGGGCAACAATCATATAATACGAGATGACACTTCTAGCGTTTACAGCCGACCGGTCGACTCGCCAAAGGATGTCGTAATGCCACGTGCCACCAACACACTGCCCGCTAAACATGACTTGCCTGAAATTAATTCTCTTGATCACCAGATCGCCATGGCTCGTGGCTCAACGATGGCTCTGGAGACGACAAGAGTCCGCTTACAAAGTTCAAAGTCGGATCATCGACGATCACTTCCGGAGTCCCGCAGCGAGAAGATTCGTCAATGGCAGCAACAAAAATACGAGAACGAGTTTTACCAATCATGCTTTAACAATTTTCATGAACTCTCCAAGTCGGCGATTGATGCAGTCGAAGATTTAACACCAGAATCCTACTTTATATCCGAGTGCACTTCCACGAGAAACTTGAAAGTCATACAGGCCATACGCCACTTACGCGAAATATTGGAAAAGTCTAGGGCTCAGGAGGCAAGAGCAGAGCAAAATTGGAAATCTCAATGGAATTCTTCTCGAGTATGGGGCCCAACTTGCCGCTGGATCTGATTCCATAATGGCTTGCGAATGCACTCTTGGCTACACACACACTGAATGGTTGAACATCTTTACAGTGCCAGGTGAACCGGCCTTCTGGCTTTTTGTAATCTAATATCATAATTTACAATGTTATCTACCTTATACTATATCATCGGATTCATGTGCACTGTACCATTTCTCAATAAACGATGGCCATACTTGGACACACGGTGTCCCAGGGCTACTACAGGAGTGTGTGTGTGAAATCATTTACCCTGACCCCTCGCGAACGATATGCAGGATACGACTACTATATATATCCGTGTACGTACATGTAGAGTGTTCCACTTCCTGAGAACGAACTTAGAGCCTCGTCAAGGCCTATCGTGGCCTAACTGCCGTTCCCATTATTAGGCTGCCCCGGTGGCGCGCGACTCCGAAACCGTTGTGACGTCTCGGCGAAGTCTAGCACGGCCTTGACCGTCCTAGCTCGCGAGACGGTATCTGGTTTACCTTTCTCACCTTGTTTTGAGCCTCCCAGCAGGCTCGATACGCTATTAAACGCGTCTCTAACTTCTCTCCTTAGCTCTCTCCGAGGTTCCCTTAAGTTCGGGCAATCCACCAGCATATAGGTGACTGTTTCTTGTGCGCCGTATGCGTACTGGTCGTCGTCACTATAACCAACATTCTTACGGTAACTGGATAACTAGTTGTGGCCCGTGCGCAGCTACGTCAAGAGGTACGCACGGTTTCTTAGTAGGTTCCTATATAGCCTTCTAGTATAGCTTACTAGTAGGATATTATCGATCTTTCGTAAGTGACTACCCTTAGTAGATGATTTCTATTCCTATTCCCACTGAGAGTAGATATTCCGACGGATAAACGCCCTCTCTCTAGTGAGGAGCGGGTAGAAAGGATAGGTTTTGCCTAGGCTGGCGGCGTCCTTTGCTAATCGATCTATAGCGTCGTTTCTAGGATTATCATAATGCCCTAGTACCTATTAAAGGCGGAGTACGAATCCCGCCGCTAGAACCTCGGCGCTAGCCTAGAGGATTACGTGAACGATGCGTTATCCTGATCTATTTCTCGCGCTTTGAACCGCCTGTAGGGCGGACCGGCTGTCGCATAGGATCGTCGCTGTTAGTTGCCTGTCTGCTGTTCTCAAGTGTTGATAGGCGATCTTGAACACTACACTTATCGCGTAGAAGATGCCTATAAGCTCCGCTACGTGGACAGACTAGCGGCTTATCGGTCCTACTTAGACCTGCTGCACCTCGACTATCTCTTGGTTGTTGTCGAGTGCTACAGCGGCGGTACCTGGTGGTCCTATCGACCAGAGGGGTCAGAGTAGACAACAACGTCGGATGTTAAGCGAGTGGTCTCGGCCTTCTGTGCCGCTATCTCGCGATCAGACCCGATCTCAATCTCAGCGAAGGAGTCGAGACGCCACGGCGGTAGTGGTCGTGGATCAATGATTTCCAATTCGTTTAGCCTATCGAAGTACTCTATCGGAGTGCGTGTACGACGATACCGAACCGCGGCTTGACCAGCTTTGTGTTATTTCCTAGCTCATTCAACCATTCGGTATTGTTACGGGCTGCTTCGGCTGACCCTAAGTTTTTGAAACGAATCAAGTATCCCGTTTTAGTGGTACCAATTCCAGCCACTTAGGCATCTTAAGTCGAAGGTATACTTAACAGCGCTGAACGGATATAGGTGTTAGCAGAGTCGGTAGAGAGGTATCGCCCGAAGTTATTCCCTTCGCTATTCTTATTATCCCTCGGGTCTACCAATATTCTCTGTATACTAATGCGAACGTAGTTCCGGTCCTTCTCGGGTCGTTAAAGACTTGGTTGCGGGTCATAGGTACCGCTAGCTGCTATCGCTGCCCATATTCTAGGCGGGTTTGGTTGTAGGCTAGCTTCGGTTTATGCTCTTAGGGCTCTGACTTCTTCATAAAGCCTATCATTCTATTCTCGGAGAACATTCTAGTTGTGCTTGACCTCCTCTAGGTCGGCTTTAGTGGATTCGATAAGCGTGGTTTGGCGATGGATGATATCCTTAAGGTTGTCGATAAGCTTCTACACCTCTCTAGTAGTAATCCGGCCTATGCCCTCGGTGTATGTATAAGCTTCGCCGTTTCTCGTTCTTTTCCCTATGATTTGGCCTGCATCGATCGATACTCGAGGCTGGAAGTCTTCAAATGAGAAGCTGGCGTGGGTTTCTTAGGTGTTTGTGGGATGGGGCTCGGGCCCTCCCGCGGGTGGGCCGCCATCGGTCCGGGGCTAGCTCCCGCTCGGTACACAACCATAACAGTTTTACGTCGAAGATGATATCAACAGGTCCCTTGTCTCTCTGATCGTACCGGCCGCCGCAAATTCCTTCGGAGACCGATCAGATACAGGATCGGCTACTCGGCTACTACAGGATGGACCGAAATCAGTTTCACCAGATGCACAGAGACATTATTCTTCGAGCCCTATCTAGAAATACGCTAATGCACTTTCAGCTTAGTTCGTATTTAAATAACTGAATTGTACTGAAACATACGATCACGTGAAAATACATATATAAAAGAACATTGTAATCATAGAAGCAGGTTATCACCCCTCAGGAAAAGTCATTTGTCCTTCTTACCTTTCATCGTCAAGGTCCCTACTTTTGGTACACTATTGTTCAGGATCACTACTTAAATAACAACATGAAAACGCATTGCCTTATTGGATTTATAAGACATCTAGTTAGTTACCAATATATTGTGGATCAATCTCAAGTACCGAGAGACGAAATATCTAGCTATGCTTCTTAGGAACGGCATTCTGATCGCTTAAAGTGGCATCATACAGCCTCTACTAGCAGTTCGCAATAATAGATTGCAGCCTACTTGACAGAGGCTTTGCCAGCGACTTACCGCCATTCATAGTCCGCGTAAAGACCCGTGCTGTCCATCCCACGCACATAAACTTGGGCGTTGATGAGCTAGAGCTTCCGCAGCGTCCCCGTTTATGGTCTCATTGAGGATTCGTCTGCGATAAAAACTGTAGGCAAGTCTGGAAGAAAATATAGGCCTAGAGGAAAACATAGGCCTAGACGAGGCCCTCGGCGGACAAGGTTTGCGCTTTCTCGTCACAATTGAGTTTTCCCTAAATAAGATTCCATTCCTCAAAAGAATGGCCCGCTCCTTGTCATTGAGACTTAGTTTAGAATATCCGTTAATCTCAACCAGCGGATGGTCCAAGTCAGAGCTGATGTACATTCTATCAACACCGTTCTCCTCCGAGACTAATTAGTTCAAAAGCTCACTGATCGGTTGAATAGGCCGCTGTGACGATGTTCTTATCGACCATCCAAAGGGTGGCTCTCCCTTCTGTATCAGTTACAAAAGACAGATTGCATCATTTCGGTGATAATCTAAGACATAGGACCATACGAGGGCTCTTCCAAATAGAATAAGTAGTTCCTCTTGATGTCTTTGTCTAAAAATTTCCCATCCGGTCTCAAAGACGTGTCGTACAGTATCTCTGTGTATGATATCTCGCCGGATAATCTAACTGAGCTGGATCAGCACTTTGTATATTCCCCAGTCGGTCTTTGGATGAAGATATTTAGCGAAAGTTGACTCGATTATTTGCCTTTGTGGTCTTTATGCTTGCAAAACATTTGAAATCTAGCGGCAGACAAGTATTGAAGAAAAAAAGTCTTCGAGATCTTGCAAATTTCCGAGGATTTTTAAGAGCAGTTCAGGAGGTAGAGCAACTAGTGGAGGTATGGCGTTGATTTTGTGGACGTCACTTGAGTCTGCAGTTTTCTTAGTGTCCCTCTGAGGCAGTTGCGCAAGGTTGGAGTGTATATAGGCCAAATTTTGGCACGAACGAGCACAGGTGTTCTCAGGCATTTTGATATTGGAATAACGGTATATAATGGATTGAGTCGCCTTAAGGGTGGTCGTAGGGTTTAAATATCAGCATGTGAACATTGCACCTTACTCGGTCAAGCGCTTCGCCTCCCGATACACTGATTGGTGGCTCTGATCGCTTAGCATCAAGTAATTTTAATTGAACCTCCTAGGAGAGGGGAGGGAGAACTGTGTTATGCGTCTGAGAAGACGGAAAGAAATGGCAGAATCCTGGGTGGCCTAAGTGGGATCAGCGCTCTCCTAGGAACTATATTAATCCGAGTTCGAGTTTGGATATCCAGATTGCAATGAGCAGCCTAATCTTATCCCCTATCCTCCATTTCAAGTGCGCTAATAGAGATGCGAGATCTCATTTTTTTGTTATTATAGTAGAACTTATGCATGGTCTAACAATCACATTTGTTGAGGTCCGCAGCTTTAAAATGGCTCCCTACTGTCTATTTGCCTTGTTTGCTGGATCAACGTTCTAGAACCCCTGGCGAGTACGCTAGGTAACTGCTCTCGTCAAGCAGTTAGGACGATGGATCTCTACCTTCTCGTGGTGTCCGGTGTTAGTATCCTCACAGTTTGTGGAGGGGAAGCCAAAAGAATCCGCGTGGAGTGAATAGGGGTCGGACCGCAGAGTTTTTCGTGGTTGACGACTCCCGTTCACCCCACACAAATTAGAGGAAAACGGGTTATGAAAACCATCCGACGACTGCCTACTCGACTCGTACTCGAGACCGAAGCTGGACTTGTTCTCCAGCGGTTGTGGTATCGCCTAGGCAGGAGACAGGACACCTCTGAGCTTGAACACCCTCTGAGATTGCGAGACGCCCAACAAACTGAACGAGGAAAATATCGAAGACAGCGTACAAAAGATCGAGACGAACAAAGAACACATATGATGGCGTTGAGCGGCGAGAGGGATTACAACTGGTGGCGCAGCAGGCTGTATGATGTCGTTTGGGAGCTCCATGGAACGGCCTGGATCGGAACCTCGTTAAAGCGAAGCTACGGGCAACTCTGACTAGGACATCCTGTGGCATCTGTCAAGCGGGGTGTACAGTCTGGTGACGACCCTCGACGAACTCGTTAAGGCACAGCCACGGGTGCTCGGAAGGGCTGCAAAACCAGGGACCCAAGCTTGGTTAGTGAAGGACAGTCAGGGTATCCTGCAGGGCCATTGGGGATACTCGTGACAGCCTTTGCGAGACACGGTCGGCCGGCCGAGAGAGATCTGGACCGGTAACGCGAAGGAGGGAGACTTCTCCCTCTGGGGCGTGGCGCATACTGGCAGTGACGGACGAGTCGAGAGGACCCGACGAGACTGTCTATGTGGCCCGAGAGGACGGACGCGCGTGTCGGTGTGCAAAGAGACAGAAACAGCTACCTCAGCTGACGAGATTTCACGAATTTGCAACCGGAGATATTGAGGTTTTCTTGTTCGGATGTACCTGTAGCAAAAGCCAACGGAGTAGGATAGGCGAGAATGACATCAAAACTAAGCACAGGTTGGAGTCGATATACTGCAGGCAAAACATAAATACATAAGCCGGCGTGGGCTGTGCAGCATTGACTAGGCGGCAAGGGGAATTTGGGCCGTTAAGATTCGGTTGAAAATAGATACAGAACGATCACATGGTGGGTGCTAATCACAACTCAAGCGCTTAGAAAGATTTCATCACCCTTGAAGCCAATAGAAATACTTCGTTTACCGCCCATGACCCAGGTGCAGATAAGGCTAGTCCAGAGAAAAGCCTAGATGTGCAAATAATAGTGGGTCATCTTTGACCGAGGCGTTTTAGCCGAAGACCACCGTTGGTGGTGAAAACAAACCACAACAACAATCAATAAGGACCTATGAATAGCCAGAAGATACAGAATGACGCTTTCTGCAGCAATGAACTTTGCAGGGGGAAATTGTTGACAGATTGCCTGTCTAATGACATAGCTGTTTGCCGAGTTTGCATCGAACCTTCCGGCCAGTCCAAGCGCCTAGTCCTGGACCATTGTATCTTTCAAATTGGTATTTTCGCCTGTGGCATTTATCACCTGATTAGGTACAAACCGAATTATCCACGCACTATTTCATATATGGAATACCTTATCATGTGATTAACCCCTCTATCCTCATCCTCATTGGCCAATTCCTTATCGGGTTATCGGGATCAAGCTTGATAAATCAAAATCAGATCTCAATTTCTCGGCTCAATCCCCACCCACCAACGTTCATTCCAGTATGGTAATCAAAGCAGACTCGGAAGTACGGTGTGGTAGTCTGCATCTCGTGTGGCCCCTCATCAATGCCTCCGCGATAAATACGCTGCAGGGTCTAGGCGGGCCTAATCCCCCCCCTAACCTATGCTAAAGAGGATCCTATCTTATCGTGCATAGAAGTACGTACTGTACATAAGCGCAAGCTCCATCATGTAGTATTTGGAAACCTGCAGGTGCCTCCTGCCAGCTTATAAATCCACAGTTTCCCTCTCCCCTCCAGCGCTCCGCTCCGCATCCAGGCATTGTTCTTCGATCGTCGAGTTTCATGGCTAAGACAAGCCGAGCCCCCGCCACAGTGTGTGCTGAGCATATAGCTCTCAGCTCCTTTTTCTATCAAGTTCCTGCCCCAGTCGTTCGAAATGCACTAAACTTGTCGTTCGAGCAAGGAGATCATGTTCTACCTTTTTCAAAAGAACGTCGGCTAACCGAAGATCTTGCATTCCTGGCAAAAACTAAGGATGGGTGGAATCATATACCTGCAGTTTGCGTAGAGCAAAACTCACTTGGAACAATTTTGAATGTCATCCTAGCAATCAACAAAAGCACCTATGCTGATGGAGATGACCTGCTACAAAACCTGAAAAGCAGGTTTGAAGACATTTTCCATGTACTTCATGATTCAAAATATGGTCTGTCCTTACCAATGTGCATTTTGGGATGGACTTTGACGATTTTCAGAAGTTGCAGACAAGTCCAAGGTCCAAAGGGAGGTTTTTGCGTCAATCATCTCGATGTGCTCACCGCGGGTATTATGCCGGTTGCGACTCGAGCGGAAGGCAACCAAGAGGCCCGTTCAAGATCTACTAAAAGAGGCCATATTTGGTATTCGACGGATTGATTCTCGGAAACTTCACGGCAAAGACTTATCAGTTACATCGTCATCATTCATCTCAGAGGCAAATAAGGTGATACAACTTGTTGATCGATGGATGAGGCACCAAACTCCGGATGAGCTGGGTGATCTTGTGGAAGGAATACATCACTTGCAACAAACAGCACCACGCTTTTACGACCTACTAGACCTTATCTCGAATCATGACATGGTCCCGTCCTCGAGATCCAGTTTATTGAACATCATCAGAAAAGTCTCAAGATACTGGGGAGCCGCCAGGCAACTATATCGGACGGCAAAGGAATTTCCATTGGTCCGGAATATGAAGATTCAACTGGCAAGCCTACCCCAAGAGGCATTCGAAAGTCAAACAAGTTCCAGCGAGCTTTCTGACCTATCTTCATGTTTATTCAGACTTGGATTCGTCAAGGGGCAAAAACATAGTTTGTCTCAATTGTGCCGCAATTTGAGGGTTGATGAACAGGCTGCTCGTGCCAGGTATGAAGGGGCCCAAAAGGCTCTTTTAGCACCCAAAATCCACGCTGAAATTCAAATCATCGCCTTTTGCGAAATACGAGCCCCAAATTTGTTTCCACGAGTGGTTAGTTCAAGCAAAGACGCATGTTTTCTCTGCAACACTTTCATTCAACTATACGGTCGAATACATACCCCTAGAGCCCATGGCCGGCTTTATCCCGGCTGGAGACTCCCGAGTCTGCCGCAATTTAGAGTCCTTCAGCAGAAACTCAATAAAGGTCTTATTGAAAGTCTTCAGCACAATATTTCACTAGGTTTAGCTCAGGGGAAGCTGCCTGTTCATCCGTGTCCTAATGAGAGCAATGTTCTTACCTCATCGGCTTCGGGAACAACGATGAGTATGCCAAAGCCCTTGTCGGAGAGTCCAGAAGGATATATTTCTTCGATCGACTCGTCGTCTATTACTGTATCGGGCGATCCACCTAGACGTGGCCCTTCATTGTCAATCAGCCGACTTTCAAGCAATGAGACCCCATCGGGTAATTCCATTAATACCGCTTACCTGCTCGAGGGAGAACTAGTCAATGATTTTGTGAAATACAACAAGCCTTTTCATCTTATTATCACAGAATCTATTGAAGTACACCTTGGCCTCCAGGATGAACCAGCTTCTACAGCTAGGAAAGAACCACTGGGGTATGATATCACAAGGTTTACACCCGACAGCATCAAATATTTGAGAGAGACATGTCCTGTTGTTGATGTGCGGCAGCTAGAAGGTGAAGTTCAATTTCCATTGTCTGAAGATAATGCATTTTGTCTTGTCGCTGGGGATGTGGTGTTGAAAATCAATACTCATGGATGAGCTGAGGATGAACAAGAAGCAGCTCGTCAGGCGCCACTGCGCCCGTGAGCAAGCAAGATTATATATACCTTTGATACGAATGAGGCACAATCCTTCACCACGTGAGAGAAATTGATTCTTCAGTTCTATGCAGTATTGTTCAAGATCTGGGTCGGTGCCCAACGCAGTTGGATATCCTTTTATCGCATCCGGATTCATCGATATAGACAAGGTGGTTGGACTTAAAGTCTGAGATAAAATGATTCATCCCAAAGGTCAAGGTTGTGTTCTCGGGTCTTGACCTGAGCAGGCTTCCTGGACTAGCCTTTGGACCAGCCTTTGGACTTAAGGGCGCGACTGATGTTAGATTTCGTTGCTCGAAGAGCGAATTCGTTCTGTAGAAGAATCACCATCTCGTCCAGATATAAGGTAGGCTTTTCAATCAGATAGTCACACAAAGCCTCACGCATGACTGGAGTGATACGGGGTCGTCCGCCTTTAATTGGCGGTGCTCTGACGCTGCCAAACATTCTTATATTGGAAGAGATTCTCCAGATGGTGCTCTTGTTGCAACCAGCGGCCAGTGCCATCTTAGTTATAGATCGTTCGCCACTGTGGATCATGTCATAAGATAAGCTCATGCTTGGAAGGAGCTAGGATTGGAGCCATCTTTGGTTGGACCACTCGTGATTAATTGTTAAGTGCGCCTCCCGAGGAAAGCTGCTTCGGGAGAGGGGAATAGAGGTGTCAGATGTATTGAAATTACGAGATAATACATGTATGAAACTATTATGTAATCTACGTACGAGCAAATACACACGCAGCTGCCGGAAGAACTCCCAATATAGACTAGCATGCCTTGGCGTAAGGGGCAGGAAAGCCAATCGAAGAGTACAGTGATTGCACCGGTTTCGGGACGTACTGTACCTTCTTGTGGTGTCCGGTGTTAATCCCCGTTGGGGAGACGGAAGTGAATCTGCTGTGGTTGTGCGGTTGCGGCCCGGCACGGGGTAACCCGACCGCACAACCACTCCAAAACCAGGGGCTACGGATATGAAAACCCTCCGACTTCTTTTTACCCAATTCGCACTCAAGCCCAGAAGCTGGTCTTGCGTTACCAGTGGAAGTGGTGTCGCCCTAAAAAGAAGACAGGACACCCCTGAGCTTGCATACGGTCTGGGATAGCATCGTGCGAGATACGGCGAGGCGGTAGTGAACCGGTGACACAGGCAGTCAAGCTGACTTTGGACAGACCTCGTTCAAGGCCCGGAGGCCTCGTTAAGACTAAAACTCGTTAAGGCTTGATGACATCCTGCACTTCAGACCTCGTTAAGGCTCAGCCACGGGCAACCTTGGGTGCAGCTGTTCTTCGAGACACGGGCACCACCGGGACACGGGCATCTCCTGGGTGATACACGGCTATTTGGAAGGGGCTGATAATTGGTTGATGGCCACCAATGGACCTCGTTAAGGCTTTGCCACGGGCAACCCGTCGATCCTGTGTAGACATTGGGGACCAAGCTTGGTTAGTGGAGAGCGACCGACATACACTGTCGGCTGGGGCGTATTTGAGACACGGTCAGCCTGGCGGAGGGAGACCTCCCCAGGTAACGCGAAACAAGGGTACGAGCTCTTGCGGGGCGTGGTATACCATCCTTTCAATGAAAGAACCCCTCCACTAATTTATATCAGTATGTTCATATCGGGACCTGCATGCCAAATTAGGAGAGGCTAAATAAGTTTCCATTGTAAGACGGCTCTACTTTTATAACCTCAAATTTTAAAGATGGCGGGTCACGCAAAGTCACCCTCACAATGATCAAAGAGCTGACAGGTTAAATTGGTCATCTAGTAGTTGGTGGCAAAACTCAGTTCACCTTCACTTTCTTTATTCTAGCTTAAGGCGTGCGCATAAAGCTGAGGCATTCAAGTCTGATAGCGGAGGCCTGTCACCATTTATATAAGTTTATCGCAAGTAAACTCGATGTATTTTTCACTTGTGCGAAAGTTATTCCGGCAATCTGGGATTCGAAAGTGGAAAGACCGACCGACATGCCACGAAGGTCGACACGAGCTCAACGACGACGACCAACACGTCTCAGTAAAGAGAATCAGCTTGATACTGAGAAAGCAGAGCGGAAGCAATTTGATTATCGTAATTCGTGCTTCAAAGGGCCGTTTCTCGTTCACCTCTGCGACTTAGACTTCGGGCAGAGCAAAAATAGACTAATTGAGGGCGGAGACAATGTTATTCGACTCACCCAGATCCTAAATATCCAGGGCTGCTTACGTTTGAGCAGGGAGTTCCATGTCCCAGTGGTGGTAGATGCTGCAGACTGGCTTACCAACGTCACTCTGCAGGAGCCCACATTAGCGCGTGGCCTGCGTATGGGCCAAATCGAGGTTGGACCTGATTATACCCTGTCTGCCCTAGACCATGAAAATGTTATTTCTGCGGCTCGCGAAATGTTCAAAGAACTCCAAATCGAAGATCCTTGGTGGGTAGCAGATATTTACGTCACCGGAGCGAGTAAGTCTGCGACGGTGTGTTCTAGAGTACCTGATCCCACAAGCTGATCCCCGACCGCTATTTATTCAGGTGGCGACGTGGCACTTCATGAAGAACTTGTGCGAAGCCTGCAAGAGAGCTTCCCGAACGACCAGCGCCCTTCAGACGGACGAATTTACCGAAATATTCGTTATTATCAAGGTAGCTGGATTGGTCCCCGCAACGAAACTGCGGAAGGTTATTGGTGGGCTCTTTTAGAGTCCAAGCCCGGAAGCCGAAAGGGAGACTATCTGCGTACTCTCTCAGAGAGCTTGCAAAGGGCCTTCGATGCTCTTCTTCCTATACCGGGAATATGGGCCGGTATGAGCAATGGAGTTTTGCACAAATTGAAAGCTATGAAAAGCGATGAGGTGAGCTTACTCCCTGCAGAGCAAGGCAGGGATTGACAGTACAGTTCCAGCCAATTGCCTGCTATTTAGAACATATTCGAAGCACATTCCTGAGGCTTGTAGACGGCGACGAAGCCCTTTTGGGCCTTATTGACGCCACGTCTGTGAAATTTTTAACATCCAAAGTGCCAAGGGTCTCTTCAAAAGACTTATCTGATCTGCGAAGTAAAAAAGAAAAAAAGATACTCTTTCCCTTCATGGAAGACTATCAGCGAGATATGGTATGGCGAAACTTGGAAGGCATTGACTTCCCCATCCCAACACTTGAGACCTTCTTTCAGGATATCCTGTATTTGGATGTCGGGCAATGCGTTATGAGACAACTCTGTTTTGCACCACCTGAAGGAGATAACACCATTGACAAGGTCTTGAGAAGTCAATGCGTTGGGTTCACTTACGGCTTATTATCTAGAACCTACTGGGAGCAGACAGTGCAAAACCAGCAGCTCCAGGACCTTTGGCGGTTCAGTTTCCAGTATGCGTTTGAATTAACACCTAAGAGGGATCACCACCGTCGTATTCCACGAAAAAAAAAGGACAAGGAACGTGCCTTTCGTCTCAGTGTTAGCGAAGAGTTAAATGGCATTTCACCGTTGCTACTTCGTCGTCATTTCCTTGTGCTGGCCCAAGGCTACGGTTTTCAAGTTCCTATAAGCGAAGGGGATCGATTGGGAGAAGCAAGAGAGCTTCCTCGCCCACATCCATGCGACTTTCCCCCGTACGACAACGACGAGGTAGAGACGGAGCGACGGTGTGGGAGGCCGTTTACGGACTCTGTGTATGCTGACAGGTTTGCCCTCTCCAGAGAAGCTTTGAGACAAAATTGGGATACCCAGCGAGTTAGCGCAGGCTTTGTGCGTCGGTCGGTTTTTCGAGCATTCTTTTCATATCTTAACGCTGGCATCGCCGAAAGCCCACAATAAAACGTTTCCAGAGCCTTCCAAAGGACGCGACACCTATTTCCAGACACTGGAGTCATGCCTTGAACTCAACGGCTTTGTAGAATACTGTTCCCGCTTTCGCTGTATACCTTTCTTCCGCACCTTTGTCAGATAGTTTCCTAGCTCTTAGACTACATCCTTTGAACGTCGACTTCCAATCCGAATACTTCAGTCCTCTAGTATACTACTACCTCCCTAAGATTAAGCATTATCCAATATCTGTCATAAAGAAGATCCTGAACCCACCTCGAGATGTTCAACCAGCGCCGAGGTATCTTTGACCAGCACAGGATTACTATGTTGGAATAAAGACTCCAAGCTACTTTCTCCTGGTCTGCTTACCAAGAATAAAGCCAAAACAGAAAATATTTCGTTCCCAAAGTATACTAGGGGCTGCGGAAGGAGCGAAGAAAAGTGGAAAGTGATGCAATACGCATATTGCATATAAATTCATGGGAGATAAACATGGAGTCATGCACATATAGAGGAGTCAAATGAGCAAGCCAGAAGCTCGTACTGTAAACGACTACCGAGAATTACGCTCACGGCATTGCCACATGCGAGTTAACGGAGTACAAGTGGTATATGAGTGTGTATTGTACAACTCGAGAACGCCATGGTTCGTACATTCTTGCTTATTATGGAATAAATCATTGCTTCTCGACGTTTAGCACCTGCACTGCAGCGTGTCAGGGGCAGAGGAATTAGCTCTCGCTTTGCAAGTCTCCAGGCAGTCAGGTGTATGCTCTAACTCTTGCACTGAAATTCTATAGCATTCCGATTATATGACTGGATACTCCAATGGTTCAGTAATTACCCAACCCAAATGGGTTATTGCGCTATCAGTCGTCGTTCGACACACATTATGTGTGTGTACGCTGACCCCTCGTCGAAGTTGGTTTAACCACAAGACCAAAAGAAATACGGATCCGTGCCCAGCCTAGTGGGTTGTGGTTTAGAATCCAACTGTCAAAACGATATGCAACCCACCACTATGATTTTTCATATACATTATTGTCTCCAATAAGATTGTACCTTTTCTTAGACGAATTTAGAGCCTCGCCGTGGCCTGTGTTTCCACCTTCAACCTGTGAACAAGGCTCGAAATACTCCATTACCCCGTGTGATAGTGTCTCACAAAGAGACGTGATAGGTTTATAGAGTTGCCGGCACTGGGATTCGAACCCGAGGACCCCAGAAGATGCGCGGGAACCGAATCCACATCTCCTATATCAAGACCACTTTTCTGCAGGTTACAGGGCGGAAACCACTTGCACTGTTACCGACAACACGGTTAATACAGGTGAGGGTGCTAGGTTCTGAACACAGAGTTTCCAAGGTGCAGTAAAAATGTAAACTTTCCATGATGGCAACGCTAACCACTGCGCCATCCACCCCCTTGACATACAGTGATTCTCGAAAACAGTTTACCTCTCCGGAACACACACTTTGCTTCTCGGCTCGTGCCCGATACAGGGCTTATCCAAATCCGGCCTAGCTGTAAGCAACATAACAGCTGAGTGGATGAGTGCCTGAGGGGTAAACTGTTTTCGAATTCTACTGTACGATAACCAGAGTGGAACGTAGAGTGACATATTTACAAAGTTGTAGCTTGTACGCTGCTTCGATGGTGTGTCGGGTTGATTGGGCCCAACCATCCATTTATCCATCCTCTGTCATGGCCCACGCTAAAAGAGGGTGCAATTCAAGCCCAAGGGATATATATATCCTAGCTATTGGGATCTAATCATGACGTGGCTGACACTCCTCCAGGATCTCAACTATACCGTCCCAAAACTTCTGAAATGCCTGGCGATAGAATGCTACCAGCAGATCTTCGTTCACAAATTGTCGGCTCAGACTTTCCAGTTCCTGACACAACCGGATGTTCGTAGTGACAAGCTCATTATGCCTATCCTTCAAGTTATGGCAATGGATGTTTTGCGAGACGAATATGTGTCTAAGATGCTGGCAAAGCCCCTCAAATTGATCAGCTTGCGTGGAGCCATGTGCATCCAGCAAAGCTTTGGCTGCATTCGTCATCGTAGATTGCAGATATCTTTGAAAATAAGGCGTAGTCAGCGAAAGGAATATGCTCAGATGTTATATTTTAGAACCATAGGAGTACGGAACTAAATCAGCTTCTTCTATACAGTGATCATCGAAATTGGCTTGACAAATGCACACTCAGTAACTCTTTCCTAACCTGCCGCCAAGGAGTTAGCGCATAGATTATTGAACAACCCGCATTAAATCAAGCGTCGCAGTATTGTACCACCATTAAAGTGCTTCGTCCAACAGTAAAAGCATAGTTGCAACTTCGGGTGGCAAGATATAGGACCATACTAAAGCATTTTACCATTGTCCCTCATTCTATTGTGGCTCTCTCAATAGTCCATCCCCACTAAATCGTGCGCGGTGAGGCCAGAGAAGTGTTCCTGGATGTGCATTGGTCAAGCTGTTTTCATGAATCACTGTGTGGACTTCTGCTCTACACTTAGCTTCTGTACAGATTAACCAGTTTGGCAATGACAAAAGACCCCATTAGTAATTTCCCCAATGATCAATCTCAGTGGTAACAATATGATGGCTTAAGCACCTCGCGTGGTGTCCTGGAGGCTCATGATTGTTACACATCATGTCCAAGGAAGTCATTAGCTGAGCCACTTGATACCCGTTAGGTGAGTTGCACCACACTTAACACGGCCCATCGTCAGGCGCATTGCACGAAATCCAAGTGGTCGTGCCCTCTGGATGGCAAGGACAAAGCCGAATTCGCGACTTCATCCTACGTTTAGTAAAAGCTATTTCCGTTTACTCGCGGTGCTTATAATTTAATGCTAATATACAAGAGAGCTGTGTATAATTCCACCAGAATCGCCACTAGGAAGCCAAGGGGAAGTCGTGAGACGAGCCCTCCAGGTGCGCTTTTTGACGCGCTGTGGGGCTAATCCCACCTTGCTGCTTAACATCTTACATAAGTGAACTCATGCCACAGATACTCCACCCCATTTTCCTAAGTTTCCCATCGGATGTCATCTGAGACTGCAAAGCGGTCTGAAATGTCGAAGTGTGCTGTATAGCTAGTCTTTGGTATCCCACCCGCTAGCTATATGTAACCATTATAAAGTGAGGTAGTTCCACATTTCATAGGACTAGGAGAAAAGTGAGGTAACTCCACAAGTTCTAACCGGGAAGCTAATCCAGCAAGAGAATTACTTTGGCTCCGCGATTGTAATTACTGGTGGTCCACGCTTACTTGATGAACAAAATTTGTGAAGGCTCTCGTCAACACTACTCAGTTTCTTGTTGAACAAGATTAAGCTTTGGGTAAATACCTGAATTAAAATCAGATCGAAGCCCATTTCCATGTTCTTTCCCGCAAGGAGCTAGGTAAAGATTTCTTCCCCCGTTTTGGGCATTTTCCAATAAGCCTAGGAAGCAGATCAAGGGAACAAACCATCTTTACAGCCAAGAGACAACTTTGTATCCAGGTTACAGGTTTTTTTCTGCCAGAAGAATATGATACATGGCTGATACTGTTGCCTGCTGCCATGCCAACTGAAAAATCTATGGCATTCGGTGGGTCACCTACTTCACTTGGACCGCCGAAAAAGGCAAACGATATAGACGAGCCGGAGATCCTACTCGACACTAGCAACTTATCAAAGCATAACAACCTCAAAACAAAATCTTCCCAGTATAGGACTGAGCGATCCACCCGCCCCAGAATGGCAGGTAAATCAGCACTACACCGTGCCAGTGACAGGCTCACAGGAAGATTCTGCAATCCAAACAGAGTGAGAAAGTCCCCATTCAGCCAATACACCTCCAAAATCAGCAACTCTGTTTCATCAGCTTCGTTCAGACACAAGGCCTTGTCTAAGGCATTGAATCTAGGTCCTATAACTTGTCAGGGCGCCCTCAGGATGGCTGGGGAACTCCACAAAGCTGAGTTGGACATCCTGAAAGATCACTTCAAAGCTAGCAGTGATCTATTCAGCGATGCAGAAGCCTTGTTAAATGGAATAGCAGCTGCACACCCCAAATACGATCATATGATTCGCGCCATTCCGGCTCTAGCCAATCTTGTTCCTGGAGAATTTAAAGAAAAACTGATGAATGGGAAAAACGTGCACTTGTTGAAGATAGGAGTGTTTTTGGCAAATAAGTGGATATCAAGGTTAGCCTGACAAATAGAAGCCCAGGCCTATTGCCATGGGCCATAGTGCACGAAATCTTTCTTTTCATATCGTTTTTCCCAAAAGAGATTAAAGAGCAAAGTTTTCTGCCTTGTTTGGAAACTGCCTCGTTTACTACGCATAGAGCAAAAGGGGTCGAGGATCTCGCGTTTCAGAGACACAGCCACCGTGAGCTTCAGTCATTTGAATATATTTCCACCAATCACCTCAAAGTTACTACTGTATCAGAATTCAAGGCCTCGCAGCCTATTAATGTACTCGTCGCAATACCCTTTATGGCAGCGACACCCGCGCTCTCTCTATATCCCACAACCCCGCCCTCTGAATATCGCACAGCCCAACCTCGACCTAGTGAATGCGACCCAATTACAGGAAGCCCAATAACAGGCTGCAAGTTAAGCTTCGTGGGCGTCGAAGGGGTGAGACGTAATGGAATCGCTAACAGCCACCACAAGAGAGATGTCGGGAGCCAAGGCCGGTCTAACACGAGGGGTACGCCAACGTAGCTTCTTTGATTAGTCCCAGGAGCGAGAGGTTTGAATTACCAAGTCGCCTGATACTTCCGTGAATCCTACGGCTACTTCAAGGACCATGAAATTTAGATCAGAAAGTATATCTTTGTGACAATATACAAGACGAGGGGCCGAGCGAGGGGCCTTGTAGAACGATTACAGTTTTGGGAAGATCAGTGTGGATCCGGACGACATATGTTCAAGGGGTGTCTTTGAATAAAATGGCTATGGTATCTGCCATGATACAATGGAAGGCGTTTGCTTTATTCAGTTATGCTACTATGCAGTTTGATGGCTTCCTGGAGATTCCCGATTCTGGTTTGCGTCTTATAAATACAGCTCTATGGAAGCCTTGGGCATTATGTATCCAGTGAGTGGTATCGCACCATCTCCAATACAACAAATCCTCACCAGGTGCAGAAAGAAGGCGCTATCGATTGCAGAGATGGATTTGCGTTCCGGCTATTTTCCACAATGATGAACTCTTCAAGAAAATATTGAAGGTAGAGGAATCCGTTGAACCGTTACAAAGACGGGACAAGATAATTTTATCCTGGGTGTACGCTGGGGGGATCTGCTACTGCTGATAACGATGGAATTTAAGAATTTGAGGAGGTATAGTGCCACAGCGAGACCAGCCCGTTTTCCTAAAGCCTATCGATTTGTTACACCTGGACGTCTACGATGGAAGGAACACGTTCAGCAAGCCATCACGCACGCCACCAGGGTAGCTGTTGCGTTAGCAGGACTGCGAATCTTGCGTCTTGAACAGATGCGACAGATATATCAGGCGTGCATCACACCAATAGTGGGCTACGCGTCAACAGTGTGGCACGACCCCCTCCGTGACAAAACCCACCTACGGCATCTCAACACGGTACAGAGGGCTCCTCTAATCCGCACCTTATCGGCGTTCAGGACGGTGGCCTTAACAACCCTAGAAGTAGAAGCCCACATCCTTCCAACCAGCCTCTGCCTCGCTATAGGATACAACAGACTATTACGAGACTCCACACCCTACCTCGAAGACACCCTATCTGGGGTACGCTCCTACGAGCTTAGAAACGGCGGAACAACATCGGGAGCTACGCTCGCTTCCGACTAGCGGAAGTTCTTAAAAAAATGGACCTACAAAGGCTGGGTGAAACTAGAGACGATCGACCCAAGTCCACTGCCACTGTGACGAGCCGAAACCTTTACAGAAGTTGAAATCGGATCAGACCGGGAAGGGGCTGAGGAGCGAGCCAAAGCCACATACTTGACGTCGGACATTGTGGTCTATTAGTACGCCTCTGGACGCGGAGACACTCAGGCGCCGCTGTCACAGCGCTCGACGGCAACCTAGAGACCGTCGAATCACAATAGGCCCAGGTAGGACCGATGGACCGGTGGTCAGTTTATATAGCGGAGCTCATCGGCATCTTCTACGCTATCAGCGGAGAATTTAGGATTGCCTATCAGCGCTAAAGCTTAGACGGCAGACAAGCAACTACGACAATACTGTAGGGTGGAGCCTTATAACAAACTCAGAGCCTAAGGAACAGATCGGCCAACCCGTCGTGCACGGGATCCTCCAAGGCGCTATAGAGTTTTAGGCTCAGAGAATCGCTCTCTACCTTCAATAGATGCCGGGAAATTGCTACAATCTAGGAAACGATGCTACAGACCGACCGGCTAAGGATGCCGTACGCCCAGGCGAAACACATCCCTTCCGTCCACTACTGTCAAGGGAGACTACCCGCCTTCGAGGCAATATCCTCACCTAGTAGGAGTAGGAATAGAGGCCATCCAACAAAGGCAGTACCTACGGAAAATCGACGGCACCCCGCAACAACCTACACGAAAAGGCTATATGGAAGCCTGCCCTAGAACTAGGCATACCTATTGATATAGCTTCGCACCTGCCACAATTGGTTATCTACCTACGCTAAAGCCTATGGCTTCCGCGGTCACTGCCAGTGCGTCTGCAGCTCATAAGGAACGGTTAGCCACGTGCTGGTGGACTGTCTAAGATTAAGGGAGATCCGACTGGAGTTATAGAGTGAAGTAGGGGAAGCGTTTAGAATCGTCTCGAGTCTGCTGGGGGGCTCAACCTAAGGTAAGAGAGGTAAACCAGAATCCGTCTCAAGAACAAAGACGGTCAAGGCCGTTTTGGACTTCGTCGAGGCGTCACAACGGTTCAGGAGTCGCGCGCCACGAGGGCAGCCTAACAATGGCAACGACAATTAGGCCACAGCAGGCCATAACGAAGCTCTAGGTTCGTTTTCAGCGGAACACTCTACATGTACGTACGCGCGGATAGGTAGTTGAGATAGCCTGCATATTATCGCTTTCGAGCGAGGGGTCAGGGTAAATGACATCAACCAACCAACCAACCACTGTAAATAATGTGCACATACGTGCACACATATACGGTACAGATAGCCAAATCCGGCTCCCACACCTCGTGTAGTCTGGCAACGTGGCCTTTACGTGCCATGTCAAGAGAACTTTGCTTCTGATTTCGGCCTTGAGTAAGTAACACACCACCATCCTCAGCTCATAGCATATCTAAGTTGAGTGCATTTGATCACGTCCTTTCTGTAGTTTGTCTCACCTTTGGTGTGTGACAAAAGTTGCATTCAGACTTATTTTGGCACCACGAATTAGGAGAAAATCTCTCATTTGTGATGGATTTACCATCAATTACCCACAGATAGATGCGTCCCTCACCCTTAAGTGTATACAATGGTCCAGTGAGAGTACCCTTTGCTCTAGACCGTGTTAGGTTGGAGCTTCAGACCTATCTAGTGACCAACAATCAAGCTCAAACGAAGGTGGTGAATACGAAGACAGACATACCTCCCAATAGGCCTCAATTAGGATAGGCCTCCATGTCCTTCATTTTCTGCTGCCAACTAAATTGCGTGAGCGATGACAGGCCAGGATATCTATAAATACCTCCATTCTTAGGCATTTGCTCTACACGATAGGTATCAGACTATTGAATAGTCGAGCAGGCTTTGCGTTTAGGAAACGCAGATAATTTCTTCCTCTTTGTTCAAGCTCATTTATTTTGAGCTCTATGTGATCTTTTCGTTGGTCATCGACCAAGTGCCTTATAAGATTATACAATTCCTTGGATTCTATCTTCCCGAACCAATTGCCTGAAACTATGTTGAAAGCTGCCCCTGGCTTTACAGGTTTTGGTCCTGAGTTCAACCGTCTTAAGAAGTTCAAGGAGATACGTCTTCAAAATGGAGCCTTGACGTTTCTCGAAAAAGCCCATTCCTCATTCCAATCACGAGGATGCTTCAAGGGACGAGATTGCTTTAAAAGATCACTCCTTCATTACGCTGCCATGGGGGAATGCATAGATCTCCTTCTTTATCTCCTCCAAACCGAGCCAAAGATTGATTCTCGTGACATGTGGGGGCGGACACCTCTCTCCTGGGCTGCTGAATACGGCTCGTTGGGGGTTGTGAAGATACTATTGGAAAAAGGAGCAAATGTCAATGCAATGGATTATGAGGGTAGCACACCCTTGGCATTCTTGAGAGAAGCCGGCTACGCTGGAAACAAAACCTTGCCGGCTACTGAAGCTTACTTAGTAGAGAGGGGTGCCAAAGAAGACACGTTGGGGGGCATCAAGTTGGCTTGGCTTTGGTTTTTGTATTATTCTCGCTTACTCCCATATATCCGCCCGCGTATCTGAGCCCCCCGACGACAAGAAGCAACCTGACGATATACTGTACCAACATGTACATCAGATCATTGTCATAGCTCAGGTGGGCGGCGAATAATACCGGGAGTACATGCTGTCACACAATACACTCGTGTTTCCTTTCTTTAGTAATTGATCAAGGCATGATAATGAGAGGCGATAAAGAAGCCCTGTACAGTATGTGTGTACGTGTAATTCAATTACGCTGACCCCTCGTCGAGTTGAACCCTGGATCGAGGTACAAGTGCAATTATTAATTTATACGAAGAGATCCAGCTATTTGTAGTTGCAGCAGTTCATCTCCCTGCTGCTTAGCGGCGTGTCCGCCTAACAGGCAGCCATTCCTATAGATCTATATACATCACGTGGCTTGGGATCCAACTCGACGAGAGGTCAGCGTAAATGAACTGGTGACGCGCCATGCGCACGCTGTGACCCTGAAACGATGGAATAGAAGGGCAGGGACGAGAAAATCCGGAAAACGGGAGGTTATTTGCGACTCGGATACTTGACAAACGCAAAGGTGCGTTGACCAATGAGAAGAAATGTAGTATGACTAATAGCCGCAACGCCTTTAGAAAACAGAAAAACCAGGAAGGTGCTAATCGGCTATTGTATTTCGATTGTGCAAGTATACCAGTGTATGATGTTTTACGTCGTCATCGCGAACGCCTCTCGGGAGGTGGTGTGCTAGCCTCTGGCGAGGGCTCGTTTTCGTCGGCAGTTTCTGGCCATGTAATTTGTGTTGTTTCCTCGTCCTCATTATCAAGAGCGTCCACTTCCGGGGAATGCAGTCCCAGATAGGTGATTGGGAGTGGCTCAATCTACAAGCTCGGCGCCGATCTAGTCGGGGTCTGGGAGCCAGCCCTTTGGGACCAATGGTCAACACGCGGCCGTTTACCAGTTGAGGAAGGCATAGCGGGTAAATGATGATTTGGCTTTGGGAGGAAATGTATATCATCCGTGACCACGGCTAATTGGCGATGTTCTTTTGTGAGGCCAAAAATGCGACCTGTCAAGAAAACAGGAATTTGCGATCAGTGGTGGGAAGTTCACCCACCGCTGACCATTTTTGAACGCGGTGACTGGGAAGGTGTGATACGTTCGAGCTGGGTGGGTGCTTGTGGGTCTATAATCCTTTGTCTATTGGCACGAGGTTGTGGAAGCACAGAAAAGCGGCGTGTCCCGTTTGCGTCTGAAGAAACAGGCCCGGGGAATCCGTCTCTTGCGGTATCAGACGGCCCTGGAGAGAAAGTTTCAGTGGTGGTAGTTGGGAGCAAGCGACCGCGGTATTCCTGACGACAGGTCTGGCGACAGCCATCACACGTTTTATAACGCGAATATTGCCATGGGCGATAGCATTGAGTGCAGAATGCACGCTGAGATGACGAGAACAGATCAACAGAATGCCCGATAGATTGTATAGACGTGGAGCCCGGTGCCCAGCGACTGTAAGCGGATGATGACGGCGCCAATGATATTGGCGTTTCTGGCGGCAGGTGTCGCACGTTGTATACAGAAGCGGCTGCCAGGGTCGTTTGCATGAAGTGCATTGAAAATTATGCTCCAGAGATAAGGCCATAAGAGCCGAGCGTGTCGGAAATGGAAGGAGAGAAATGTATAAGAGCGCAAAGGTAAAGTTGCCGTATATGGCAGGCGTGGCACCAGAGCATATGAAAACGAAGATGAATAAAGACGTTGCAGTATACAATGGAGACGGTGACATTTACAGAGCACAGGTAGTAAAACGAGTAACATATTTGGATACGGAAATACTCGAAAGGCAGTAGTGCACGTGAAAAGCCTAAATTGTAGAAGAAAAGCATAGAAATAAACTAAAGTGCTGGAGGTACGCGAAATTATTAGTGTAGAGTATGGCTACGTAGGCGAGGCTGTTGTGATATGAGGCTGGTGCAGATCAGGAAGCAAGCCGCGGCGCAGTAGTCGTCAGGTTGTCAGGTTGTCAGGTTGTCAGGTCGTAATTTACTAGTTGCTCCTAGTAGATCATAGTAGGGGGGTGGTAGTAGGTTATAATGACTAATAGAAGGTAATAAAGATAAATTACGACCGAGCGAGCTGTCAGGTTGTCAGGTGTGGCTAACTAGTAACGTACTTGGAGTTACTAGTAAACTTGGAGCTACTAGTAAAACGTCCCTAACAAACTGTCGCTCGTATTTTATCGGATACCTGACAGCCTGCCGGTTTGATACATAAATTACCTTACAGCTCCCTTTAGATTATAGGTATTACTAGCTATTACTAGTAGAGTACCCGTATTAGGATTATACCCTCTAGGTTGTAATACTAGTTATTACTAGTAATAACTAATTAACTAAAGCTGTCAGGTGTGTTTCGTGTATTATAGGTGAAATATAATAATGTTTATTATAGATTTATACCTACTACTAGTTATTACTAGGTAGGTCGAGGTATTATAGAATATAGCGTAATTAAAATTCTACTAGTAGCTATTAGTAAGAAGAAAAATCATAAAAAATAAAGTTAGTACTAGACTATTAGTATAGTTATTACTACCTATAACTAGTAGTATCTAATACTACGAGCCCTTTAATATAACTAGTAACTACTAACTATTACTAGTTAACTAGTTAGTTATATAAAATTAAAATTAGTAATATATAAGTATATATCTACCTAGGTAGTAGTAGTTATAGTAGCTACTAGTAATAATAGTAGTATAATAACTAGCTAACTTATAATATCTATATTACTACTAGCTCCTTAATATAACTAGTAATTACTAGTTAAATAAAATATTAATCTAAATAATCTAGCTAGTTAGTTAGTTAGAAGTCGAAAATAATTTAAAATAAAGAGGTAATAATAATAAATTCTATATAATTACTAGTAATTACTAGATATTTATAGATAAATTATAGTTCTATAATATAAAGAAGGTATATATATATATATTCCGAGTATATATACTATTTTATATTAATAAAAAGAGAATAATTACTAGTAATACTAGTAATACTAGTAACTTCTAGTATAACTAGTAATTACTAGATATTTATAGATAAATTATAGTTCTATAATATAAAGAAGGTATATATATATATATTCCGAGTATATATACTATTTTATATTAATAAAAAGAGAATAATTACTAGTAATACTAGTAATACTAGTAACTTCTAATATAACTAGTAATTATAAGATATATTAAAAAGATATTAGTATTATAGATACTACTAGTTATAGGTAGTAATAACTATACTAATAGTCTAGTACTAACTTTATTTTTTATGATTTTTCTTCTTACTAATAGCTACTAGTAGAATTTTAATTACGCTATATTCTATAATACCTCGACCTACCTAGTAATAACTAGTAGTAGGTATAAATCTATAATAAACATTATTATATTTCACCTATAATACACGAAACACACCTGACAGCTTTAGTTAATTAGTTATTACTAGTAATAACTAGTATTACAACCTAGAGGGTGTAATCCTGATACGGGTACTCTACTAGTAATAGCTAGTAATACCTATAATCTAAAGGGAGCTATAAGGTAATTTATGTATCAAACCGGCAGGCTGTCAGGTGTCCGATAAAATACGAGCGACAGTTTGTTAGGGACGTTTTACTAGTAGCTCCAAGTTTACTAGTAACTCCAAGTGCGTTACTAGTTAGCCACACCTGACAACCTAACAGCTCGCTCGGTCGTAATTTATCTTTATTACCTTCTATTAGTCATTATAACCTACTACCACCCCCCTACTATGACCTACTAGGAGCAACTAGTAAATTACGACCTGACAACCTGACAACCTGACAACCTGACGACCCCCTATTCCTCAATACCTCCCTATAGCTCAGTTTGCTCTACGGCTCAGCTCTATAAGTATAGGAAGTTATAGGAGAGTAAGGACGTACTAGAGGACTAGAGCGGGTCGGCAATGAGGGCGACACCAGTTTTAGTGACTTAGAAAAATTTGTACCTTCCTTTTCATCTTATCTAGTATAGTCACATTCCCCCCTAAGGAGACAAATGAAAATATTCTTGAACACAGAAAAAAATAGCCTCTCCCTTCAAAAATTACAGTGCTGTCAGGGTTCAAATGACACATTTGATCGACTCTCAAATAGGCAGTGATAGAAGCAAATTTTGTCCATCCAAGAGCTCTGATAAGCTTTTATACCCGACGACCTTCCTTATAAGCCTAGGAATCCCCGAGAATCAAGACTTCAATCAGGCATTCAATCTCAAATGGCCAAAGGGGTAGGAACCGGTATATCAGTAGAGGTGCTGATGGAAGAAGTCTGGGAGTTCCCAGAATCGATCGAGTCTTCGGCAGCAGCCTCCACCGGTGAACAATCTGGACGGTTACAAGTGGCATCAATGATACATATGCAATCTCGCTGGCAGAAGGCGCTGCCGTGGACAAAATGTGTTGAGCAGTAGGCGCCATGATGCTGGCAAAAGAAGGCATTGGCCGAGGTCGAACAGTTCAGACGATAAATCCAATCCTTCTTCGGACCGCTGTTGAGCCCTTTATCTCGGGGATCATCGGTAATAGGAATTGCCAAGCCTCTCACTGTGAGAAGCAATACGACTGACATGAGGCTGATCTGTCCATATGCACGAGGTATAAGTCAAAAAAAAGTAAAAGATATAAAAGTTCCTAGCATAAGGGAGACGAACCTGAGCCTTCATCTTGACTAACAGTCCATCACGGTTGAAGTATGTTTCGTAAAATGGATGTATAGACAAACTTGAACTTCCAGGTGTTCCGTTAGAAAGGCTCCGCCTTTTTATATCATTTCTCATAGTTAGTCCACAGCACCACGACAGATACAGCCTATCGCGGATCGGCGCAATGTCTTGTCCAGTATGCCTTTTTTTTAAAAAAAAAAAACAACCAAGCCAAATTTCTTTAGCACAGCTGACCATTAAAATCCCGCATACCAAGTATGTTGCTACCTAAAAAGCCCGTCCATATGGAGCTTTTTCTTTAGGGACAAAGGCACCCCCGTAAGGTCAGGTTGAATGTAACCTTGGAACAGTACTTTGAGTGGTCAAATATACGGCAACTCACGGCCGAGTCGCATATGGTAGCATGGCATTTTAGGGGCGCTAGCGCAGAGTCGAGAAATCTCATTTTAATCCTTGCTCTGTGTAAATGATAAGTGGACTGTTTACAAACCTACAGATATAACAGTATAAAGGACTTCGAGCTCGGGAGGCAATCATATTTCTACCTTTAAAACAAAGTTCCTCTTCGTTTTCCTTCGGTGATATCCAGTCCCACAAAATATTATATCCCGGATATCCCATTCCAGCCACACACGTCTTTCAAGTATCTCGCTACGTCAATCTTTACAGCCGTCGAGCTATCGTCTATTATGAGATATCAGACCCCCTGGCACCCCGAACATAAAGTCCCTATCGTGGATGGGAGATATCAGGATCCCAGAACGGGTGAAATCCGGCAAAACACCCGGACAGATACATTTCTTGGTCCTCCTTTTGTGCACGTTATATGGCTCAACATGCATGGGAATTCGACGTTTCGAGGTATCGGGGCTACGTTCGCCGCTTCAATCGACGATGTGTTCGTCGGCATTGCCGATCATGTGAGAGGAAACGTTTACAGCATCACCAGTATGAACGCAACCTTATACTCGGTGACCGTTGTTTGTTCGACCGAGAAGTCGGATATCGAGATTAGGGGTGTAATTCAAGACCTGCAGCAGCATTTGAACAAGGATGTAGTGGTTCCAGAGGAGGAACTAGCAGCCTTGCAAGCATGGAAAGAATCTAATGGATTCATTGAGAATGCGTTGCCAGAAGAGAGCGAGGGGCCTAATGCTTAATCTGGCGAAGAGGCGTAAATATAGTGGGCTCCGTCAACTTAACTGGGGGGTATCTTTGCGTGTGATAGATGCTGAAAACGCCGATAAGAGTTGCACTTCCATATACATGTATGTATCTTGACCATATCGTTCAATTATAGAAAGATAAATTAATATGAAGGGCTTAAATCGCATAGCTTTCACCTCTAAATCTATTAGAAGTACATAGTAAACGGCGTATGAATTGCCTGTTCGGGTTAGTTTTGTCTCTTTGAGTTTAGCGCCCTAATGCGCTGTTCGGAGACTAAAGAAGCAAGTCTTTCCAAAGCGATGGGCTAGGTACCCCCTCCTGCATGACTCGTTATTTCCAATAAACAGGTCAGAATGCGTCGCTTTGGCCTCTGTTGGCTATCTACAGCAAATAGCTTAGCTCTCGGACATCACACCCGAAGCACCGCAGGGCTTCCCTCTAAGACATTACACCGGAGCACCGCAGGGCTTAGCACAGGGGTTCATAGGAAAAGCATCGTATGTTGCCAATTTCATAGGATCCATTAGATAGTTACTAACAATGCACTTATCAGTTCGCGACCTTTTGTACAGGGATGAAATTCACGCGAGCTAATTCGTGAGAGCACAAGTGATATGTCGAATACTAAGGCCGAGTTCACCTGTGAATTCGGGTAACTAGACTGCGACAACGCCCACCAAAGTGGAGACACTTTTAGCGTCGCCAAGCAAAAATGCCTTATTTACAAGGCGCGTATTGGGGGGAAAGAAAGGAGCAGGAGAGCTAGAAAGTTGAAGGGGCGATAGGGAGGATTTCATAGAACCACGCAAGGCGACGTATAGGGCCATATAAAGCTAGACAAGAAGCCCAGCGCTAGGCCTTATGACTTATTTTGCGGAAATAATTTCAACCATCCGATATGGTGTAGTGGCTAACATCGCCGTCTCTCACACGGCAGCCGGGGGTTCGATTCCCCCTATCGGAGTTTTCCTTTTTTGTCTTTTTCTTTTTCCTTCATAGTATGTACTAACCAGAATTCGATTGCAGCTCCATCTCTGTAACCCACAATTGTAGTGACCGGATGATATCTAACGTTGTCGTAAAATAAAGAAGACAGAATATGCCACGAGAGAAACAGTAAATATATATCGGGTATGGTAATGAGTAGTAATGCAACAGGAGGTATCATAAAGAAAACAAAGAAATAGCAAAACTAGAAGAACAACCACTGCCCAACCCGTTGAGCTTTACCCCAAGCACCCGCCTTCTTCTCCATAACCAGACCCTCAGGCCCATCCTCTTGAGACGGATCATAGCGATCCGTCCTCAAATCCATATTAGACTTCCTCACAAAGCTAGTTCTCTTGATCAGCTTCCAAGCCAGGAACATGAAAATCATGACCGGAATTTCAATATAAAACGAGACAAAATCGACCTTCTTGAAATGCGGGCTGAAGCACTTCCACCCTTGAACAAGAACAAGAACTATATTCAGCCCAACAGCAAAGATCGGACCATACGGATAAGTCCAGTTCTTAAAAGGAAGAAGGTGCTCTATACCCTGAGCCCGGATCGCCGAGCGGAATCGCAGAGAAGCAAGACCGATACAAATCCACGAGAGCTGGTTTGAGACACCGACGATATTCTGCAGCCAAGACCACAACTGTCCAGCGCCGATATAGCTGGCACCGAAGCAGAGACCGCTGATCACGGATGTCGCGAGGACAGCCACCCACGGAACCTGGAAACGGTTGAGCTGACCGAAGAATTTGGGCGCATACCCATCGACAGCGAGAGTGAATAGAAGTCTAGATCCGGCAAAGAGGGCATGGTTCGCGGCTGAAATGACCGAAGTCATGATGACGGCATTGATGAAGCTGCCAGCAACTGCGGAACCAGCCTGCTGGAAGACGATTGTGAAGGGGCTGGTCTTTGTGTCACCATCGGAGAGACCGGGGTAGTCATATGGTACATTGAGGCCGACAATGAGGATTGAGAGGAGGTAGAAAAGAAGAATACGCCAGAAGACGTTGCGGACGACTTTTGGCATAGTTTTCGCAGGGCTTTTGGTTTCACCTGCTGTGATGGCAATGGATTCGGTGCCGCCACTGTTTTACTGTTAGAGTGAAGCTCATTTAGCATAAGGAATGATGAGATGGGGTCACATACTATGCGAAGGAGGCTGTGACGAATACTGATGCAAAGCCGCCGATTCCACCAACGAAGGGTGCATCGCCTTTGTGCCAATTTTTGCCGCCGATGTACTCGTGGTCTGTATTTCCACCGCAGTTCACGGCAATACCAAGGATGATGAAGATCTAGAAAGCGAATTAGCTGGGCGTACGGATGTTTTATAAGGGATGACACTCACAATAATGGTGATGACTTTGAGTAAACTCAACCAGTATTCAACCTAGATGAGAATGGTCAGATCAAGTGAAATAGAGTGGAAGTCATCTACACATACCTCGCCATAAACCTTCACAGATAAGACGTTTAATGCAATGACAACAACCAAAAAGATTAGACTGATTGCCCAACCGGGAAAATGATCAGTCCAATACTGCAATAAAAGCTGCAACGCAATGATATCTGATGCAGTAGAGACAGCATCATTAAACCAATAATTCCAAGTCAATGCGAATCCAAGGGCATCATCCACGAAGCGACTATAAAACAAGTCAGTAACCATCCGGTCAGAGCAAATTCAAGTAATACTCACCCAGCATAGGTACAGAAAGATCCAGCAACAGGCATAAAAGCCGCCATCTCACCAAGACACAGCATAGTGACAAAGACAATACCACCACAGATAGCGTATGCAATAAGTGTTGAAGCAGGCCCACCCTTAGCGAGTGAGGATCCCGTTCCAAGGAACAGACCGGTGCCGATAGTACCGCCAATAGCGATCATCTGCACCTGACGCCCAGACAAGCGGCGAGCCAGCTTGTCTGCATTGACAAATGGGTTTGTCTGGTAATCATCGCCTGTTGTGTCTTGAGCCTTGGAGGGCTCTGCTCCGGGCTGTTTCTCGATATCGGCCATGATGCGGAGATCGAGATGGATACGAAAGTATCCTCTAATTTTGTGTTAGTACAATATATCATCGACACATATAAACAAATAAAAAGAAAGGCAATGTCACCACTTACCTATATGTTCCAACCCTAAGTCGCGTGACCCACACTAACTAGTTGCACCAAATTATATTTGATACATGGACCCTGAGTACTCCGTAGTCAAAATAAGGTACAATATAAATACAAAGAAGAAAAAAAAAAGGCCAAAAGAAGACTTTTACTCGCCGATGGCGTGATTGAAGCCATCGATGAGTGGACGGGGCTGACCCGTGCGAATGCGACGTTGATGTGTCAAGGAAATCTCCGCTCCCCACATGCCCAATTTGGGGGTTGCTGAGTTTATATATTGCACTTATATTGTATGTAGCTTATTTAGACATCTATGTTATGCTATTGTCTGAAAAATTATCGCTTTCATATTCACTATGCTTTTAAACCTCGCCGGAAAAGAGATTTTTTTGGTTGGAAAAAAATATACGCCATATAAGACCTTACAAACCCATGAAACAATCCATGAAATGTACATTAACCAAGCAGTCCACTGGCCAAAGCCTCCAGATCTCCCAGAGTCTCGATAGGCTTGACGGAAGCCTGACTCTTCTTGCTCTTGGGCTTGTCGTCGTCGCTGTCCGGCTCGGCAAAAGAAACACGCTGCTTCTTGCTGGGCCGGGGCTCGTCGCGCTCGGAAGCAGAGTCTGAATCGGAGCCAGGGATCTCGAAAGGCACATGGGGGAGATGCGAGAGACCGCCTTCCTCCTCCGACATATCGGCCTCGGCCTCGGCCCGTTCGCGCGCCTTGCGCTTCTCCTTCTTCTCGCGGCGCTTCTCGCGCATAACCTCTTTGTCCTCGATATCGGCCTGGCGTGTGCGCTCCGTCTCGCCCTCGAGGAACTTCTCGCGCTGGGCGTTGGCGTCGCCGCGGGCCTTGAACGCGTCTTCGTCTTCCATTTCGTACACCTCGTGGGCATTGCCCTCGTCGTCGTAGACCAATTTTGTACCCTTGCCCTTGAACTTGAGGAGCTTCTTCTTCGACTTGAGCAGCTTCTCGCGTCGCTTCGAGTCGATGAGTAGTGGGTCCTGGCCTTCCAAGCGCACCATCTTGACGCCCTTGGCGTCTTTGGTCTTTGGCTCGGCATCGGAGTCGTCCGAGTCGGAAGAATCGCTGTCCTCGCCGAGCTCTGCGTCGCCTGCGGCGAAGCGGCGCTTGACTGAGAGGAAGTCGGCATCCTCGTCGGCCTCGTCGTCGATCTCGGCACCGGCATCCTTGGGGGCGTCGGTAGCCACCATCGTGCCATCGTCGTTGATGAGCTTCGAGTAGTGCTCCGCCAGCACGCCCTGGTTGCGTCGCTCGAACATACGGTCGTATCGTGTCCGCACCTCCTTCTCGTCCTTCTTCTTCTCTGTTTCTGAGTCGTCATCACCGGACATGTGTGCCATTCTCCAGGATTCATTCTTCCGCTCCTTCGCATCGTCACCCTTGATAAACTTAATACGCGGAGCACCGGGAAGACCCAGACTGGCCGCATACTCTTCCAAGGGAAGTTCCTTGATCTTAAAGGTCTCCTTGTCTTTTTGCACGTAAATCGACTTGACATAGGAGATGAAAGCTTTCTGGCCCAGATACTTCAGGTCTGGATCCTTGAAGCACATGTTTTGCAGCTGATTCTTCACACTCTGCTGCTTGTTCGATTTGATGTTGATCTTCTCAATAGGCACTTTCTTGTGCTCGAGCTGCTTAAGGAATCCCTTCTCCTCGCTAGGGTCTAGGAAGAGCACAGCACGACCAACACGCTCATAACGGGCCGTCCGTCCGACACGATGAATGTAGGTATCGGCGTCTTCGGGACAGTCCATCTGGATAACCCAATCGACAGCAGGGAAATCCAGACCACGAGCAACAACATCAGTAGCGAAAAGAACAGCATGTTGGG